AAAGGATGACTCGCACGAGAGCTTTCTCGATTTTCAAGGGAATCAATTGGCAGACAGTGAGGCCCGCCTTGGGGCCGACATGCAGGAGGTCCCCCCGTGGAAGGCCCAGACCTGGACCACCCGCTCGGCGGAGGTCCAGGCGGTGTTGACTCTGGTGGCGGGGGTGACGGGGCTTACGGCGGACTTCGGGGATTCCACGGGGAGGCCGGCCGCGGGCTCCAGCGGAGCCCGCCGACGGCGGCAAGGGCCGCCCGAGGGGGCCCGCGCCCACGTCCTCCTCTGGAGGAGGGGGGCGTGGCGTTGCTCGACGTGTGGCCGAAAGGCCTTTCCAGCAAGACCAGGCGCGCGTTGGCGCGCAGGCCCTGCCAGGGTAAGATGAGGGTGGATCGTCGTTGGGGAGTCGAGCTGGGGCGGGGGGAGGGGAAGGCGACATTTCTCCCGCCCTCCGCGGGCGGCCTTGGGGCACGAATTGCACCGCGTGGGCCAGTATACATTCTGCGATCGGTGCGGTGTTTTCTCGAGCGAGAGGGGGTGCAAGCTCCTTGGTGCCTGCGTGGGGGGCCCTGCGAACCCCACCGCAGGGTACCGCCTCTCGCTCCTGCGCCGAGGCAGAAATCCTTACGCAGTGAAGGTCTCCCTGGAGGCGGTACCGCGCTCCCTGGTACAGGAGGAGTGCGCCGCTTTCTGGGAGTGCCTCATGGACTGATCTGGAAGGGGCGGGAGGCACCCCGAGGCGGAGTGCCCGCCCATCCGTTCACATGTGGCGAGCTGGGGCGGGGACCGCCAGGCATCGTTCTTGCAGCAAAAAAACCTCCTCCTCCTCCTCCTCCTCCTCCTCCTCCTCCTCCTCCTCCTCCTCCTCCTCCTCCTCCTCCTCCTCCTCCTCCTCCTCTACGTCCTGCTCCTCCTCATCCTCCACCTCCTTCCCCCCTCCAACTTATGGTGGTGGTGGTGGTGGAAGACAGGCCCATCATTACGGGCTTACTGTACGCCAGAGGCGTTGTGAATCACCCGTGCTCCGCACTCCGTCTTGCTCTGTACCCTGCGCGCGTGTGCATTCTGCTGTTGTTTCGAGCAGTGTGCACCGCTGTCAGATATGGGCTCCAGGCTTCCTGTAAGGAGCCGGGTAAAGAATCAGCATGCTGTCTGGACACGCGTGTTTCTTCTTGCCTGCCTGCCTTTCTTCCTTCCTTCTGTCCTTCCTTCCTTCCTTCCTTCCTTTGGAGAGGCTGCAAATCCCTCGGGTTCTCGGGTGTTGCTCGCTCCAGCGGCTTGTCGCCTCCAGCTTACCGAAACAGTACCTCAGCACGGCCTCGGCGTCGCCCGACGTGCCTCCAGCACGGTCCCCGGCCGACCCCAAGAGGACCCCTAGGACGACGCCAGGGCGCTCCACGAAGCTCTTCACCTGGCCCAAGAAGACGGCCCCAAGAGAGCCCCAGAACGGCCCCTGACGGCCCGAGAGAGCCCCGCAGAGGGCGCCGCGACAGCCCGAAACGCCCCCGGAAAGCGCCGAGGCAGCCCCCGAGAGGGCCCTCAGATACCTTCGATGCGGCCCAAGGTGCGGTGGGGGCCAGTCCACAAGAAACCTTCCACAAGAAACCCAACCCTGAGACCCCAGGATTTCCATGGAGTTCTGATGTGGGAGCGTCGCGCTTCCCATCGCAGAGCCATCGAAGCCCAAGAAACCAGGGGCACCCTGGGTGTTTCTTGGCATGGGCCTCCACTGTAGCCCCAGCACGGCCCACATCGTACCCAGCAGGAGCAGCAAGCAGCGTCGGCGGGCATCAGACACCAACAAGCAGCGCCGCAAGGCCACAGCAGTCAGAAACACGGACCAGCTGACAGCAGGCAGCAGCAACAATAATTGTGGTTGATCAACCAGTGGCTGGAAGCACCACCAAGTGGCAGCAAGCGATTGCGAGCGAACGGGCAAGCAATGAAGCAAGCAATCCAGCAACCAAGCAAGAACGCAGGCAAGCCAGCCAATATGCAATCAGGCAAGCGGGTAAACATGTGTAAGGCCTACAAGCTAGCAGACAAGCGGGCACCATTGCTTTCATATAATCATATGTGTTTGTATATATGTACATATCGTGCTACCTCTGTCTCTGTCTCTCTCTCTCTATCTATATGTCGTATGTCTACACACTACACAAGACGGGCCACTATGCAAGCAATGAATCAGGGAAACGACCTTCACACTAACATGTGAGGGACCTTTCGTGGACGGAAGTCCACGGGTCGGCCCTAGTCTCTCCTACAATACCGCAGGCAGCGCGCGTGAATAGGGCGAGCGGTGGCAGCGAACTGGTCCCCGGCGGGCCGGTCCAGGAGGTCCCCCGGGGCCCGGGCCGCTCCAGGCGGGCCCTCGGAGCCGCCTCGGTGGCCTTCGGAGAGGCCCCGATGACACTGGAGACGGCGCAAGACTGCCGAACATGGCCTCCAGACAGCCCAAGAGGCGCCCATGACGCCCCTGGACCGCCCCAAGAGACTTCCAGGGAGCGCTTCCGGAGGCCGAATTCATTGATTTTCTTCGGTTTTTCCTATGCTTTTCGTGTTCTCACTTTTTCCGGCTTCAGCTGCCAAAGACGGCCTCACGGGCTTCCCAGATCGGGCCAGGGCCTGCAGAGGCTCCCAAGAGCGCCCCAAGACGGTCCCAGAGGGCCCCAAGAGAAGTCTCAGAGTGGCCCGAAGGGTCCCAGATGCCCCCAAGCTGGCCCAAGACGGGCCCCAGAAGGTTCCGAGCCGGCCTCGCAGGGCCCCAAGAGGGCCCCAAGACAGCCCCAGAGGACCCCAAGACGGCCCAAGAGAGCCCGAAGACAGGCCAAGAGGGACCCCAGAGCCCCCCCAATAGGCGCCCACGAGCTTTTTGAACCGCCTCCCGAGATTCCAACAGAGTTCCGACAGGACTTGCACAGAGGCTCCCACGACAGCTTCAAGGGCCACTTGGGGCCCTCTCGGAGCGCCCCCAGGCGCCGCCAGAGTCCCGCCTGAAGCCCCCAGGGTAGGCCCAAGCAGGCCCCAAGAGGCCCCAGAAGGGTTTTCAGAGCGGCTTCAAGTGGATTTCCAGAGAGCGCAAAAGCAAGTGGAGTGACGCCACTTGCTTGTGAAGGCACGCCCTACAAGCACTGCCCCCCTCAACGTCGATAGCGGTGATCACACCACAGGCACACACTAGTCTTCTGTACTACAATTCCGGGCGAAGCGCTTGCGAAAAGGTCAAGCAGTGGCAGCGCCCCGGGCCGCCCAGAGAGCTCGCGGGCCGCCCGGAGAGCCTCCGGGCCGCTGCCCGACGGGCCCGGGAGGCCCCCAGACCGTTCGCGGACTGATCCAGGATTCCCAGATCGCTCCAAGACGGCTTCAGGATGTCCCGAAGACGGCCCAAGACAGTCCAAGAGTGTATCCGAGACGCTTAAGATGGCTTCAAGACGCCTTCAAGACGGCCCGAGACGCCTCCACGAGGCCCCCACAGCGCTCGAAGTGCACCTCCAAGAGGGGCCGCAGAAGCCGAAATCGTTTATTTTCTTTGTTTTTTTCAATGTTTCTGGCCTTCTCGCTTTTTCGGCTTTCCGACGCTCCACGGCCGCCCAGGAGGCCCCCAAGACCGTTCCAAGACGGCCCAAGAGGCCTTCAAGACGGCCCCAAGACGGCCCAAGAGGGCACCAAGAGTCGCCCAAGAGTCGCCCAAGACGGCCCACGAGGGGCTTCAAGAGAGGCCCAAGACAGGGACCCGGAACCGAAAAATCTAGGCCTCCACCCCAAGAGGCCCCAAGGAAACGCCGGGACGCCCCCAAGAAATCCCCAGGAGGCCCCAGGACGCCCCACAGAGGCTCCAAGAGGCCCCCCAGAGGTCGCCAAGCGCCCCAAAAGGCCCCCAAGAGGCCCCAAAAGAGAGCCCAAGAGGCCCCAAGATGCCCCCAAACTCCTACCAAGAAGCCCCCAAACTGTCTCCTAGAGGCTCCCGAGAGGCCAACCACGCGATCCCAACCAACATCCACGAGATCTGTTACCCATTACCCAGGCCCGCGGCGAGATTGCCCGCAGGCCACTACAGCCGGTTCGGTGGCCCTCCGTATACCAGCACCCGCACCCTTGGCTGTATCGGGAGCCTCCCCGCTGCTCTCTCGGTTCTGCTGGCTTCGACCAGCCAGAGCTCTCGAGACGGCCATCTCGACGGCCCGAGACCCCCGAGATGGCCCCAGGACCACCCTGCGCGGGCCCGCTAACGTGGCCCCTTCACTCTGACGGTGCTTGAAAACCCTTAAGTTTGGGCTGATCGCGCCCAGTCCCAGCGCGATTAGCAAAAAACCATTCCCTTTCACGCTTCCAGGTCAGTGCCCCCGGAGCTCCCCGACTGCTTTCTGAGATCGCCCCTGGACGTGGCCCTTTACACGTCGGCCCCACGCGCGGCCTCCAAACGGGACCCCCAAAGGCCGCCCCCACACAAAGCCTCCGAAGGTCGCCCCTACCGCCCCAGTAAGCGTGGCCCCCGAACGTCAACCCCACGCGTAGCCCCCAGGCGCCCCCAAACGTGGCCCCAACACACACAGCCCCCAACCATTGCCCTCAAACGTGACCGTCACATCTGCCCCCGAACCCCACACCATCAAACGCGACCGTCACATGTGCCCCCGAACCCCGCACGCGGCCCCCAAACATGGCCCCCGGCAGGGCCGCGAACGTTGCCCCCAACCATGACCCCCTGACGAGACCCCCCAACGTGGCCCTCAAACGAGGCCCCCCAACGTAGCGCCCAACTCTGGCCCCCACGCGTCCACCCCCCACATCGAACTTCTCGCGCACAGGGACTCTGTAAGATCGTTCGGGCCCCCTTACTCTGATTGCATCTGAAAACCTACGTGTCTCTGCTAATCGCGCCCAGGCCTCGCGCGATTAGCAAAAACACATTACTTTTGACGCTTCCAGCGCTTCCGACACGTGCGCGTTCGGGACCAATGCCTGAACCTGCGGGCCGTGGATTTTCCACGGGTTCACACTAGTTAGCTACAACGCTGGGATCAGCGCTTGCGAGAAGGGCGAGCAGTGGCAGCGGGCGTTGGCGCTGCTCAGTGAGATGAGGGAGGCGAATATAGAGCCCGACGTCTTCAGCTGCAACGCTGGGATCAGCGCGTGCGAGAAGGGCGAGCAGTGGCAGCGAGCATTGACGCTGCTCAGACAGATGTGCAAGGCGAAGGTGGAGCCCACCGTCATCGATACTACGGTTCCGAAGCCTCACATTCTCGCCTTGGCCCGGCGTGTCTTTTGCAGCTTCCAGGAAGCCGGAAGATGCAGAGCGTGAGCAGCCCGCGAGTAGTACGTCCGGGCCCCCTCACTCTGATGCCCTGCCTCCTCGAGGGGGCAAGTTGGCCCAAAGGCAAGCCCTGAGGCACCCAAGGGCGCCCTAAGACACCCCGAAGAAAGAGCCTTGCACCCAAGGGCGCCCTAAGACACCCCGAAGAAAGAGCCTTAAGACGGTCCGAGTGTTCCATGCGAGGGGCCCAAAGGTGCCCCGACAGGCTTTGAGTACAGCCTCCAGACGCCCGAGGGGTACCATGATGGCACACGGACAGACCCATGAGGCCCCTAGATGATCCGCGGGTATGTTCTGCGACGCGAAGGATATCGAACCTCCTCAGGCGTTGCAGCATCATTGGCTTTTGACACTTCCTCTCACACGCACGTTTCGAGATGGGCTTCTCACCAGCTTCCGTCAGCGCCGAAGGGGCTCCGAGAGAGCCTTGCTCGGCCTCCAAGCCGGTTCCCCCCAGCGTTGCCACCCAGAAGCCCCAAGTGCCGCCCAGGTAGCCCCACGAGGGCCTCAAGAGGACCAAATAGGGTCAGACTGCAAGTTAGCTCTGAGAGTGCCCCGGGATCCCGAGCTGCGCAGTTGCCACGCAGTTTGCGCAGAGTCCCCGAGCCCGTCCTGAGGGCCCCGGAGAGCCTTGGGGCGCCTCCGAGACGTCTCCAGACAGCCGCGGGGAGCCTTCGGAGGGCCCCAGGCGGTCACACAGAGACCCCCAGACACCTCAAGACGACAGCCGCTGAGGCGGCCCCGAGGGTACGCCGAGGACTCCCGGTAGACGAGAATTGTCACATTCCTGTACGTTTTGGTGCGTTTTCGCAACTTTCGGCTTTTCGGCCCTGGATCGCGCTGCAAGGAGCCCAGGACACCTCAAAGCGAGCCCCTGAGGACCATAAGAGCCCCCAGTAGGACCCATGACGCCCCCATCTTGCCCTGGGCTCGTCCCACGACGGCCCAAGACCGCTCCATTATGACCCAAAGGCCCCCTCAGAGCTACCGTAGATTCTTCCAAAGGCAACACCTGGAGGCCCAAAGGGCGCCCAGGAGGCCCCGAAGGAGGCCCCAAGTTGGCCCAAAGAGGGCCCCAGTAGCGCCGCGACATGAGACCAGGGGTTCGTTCACACGCGCGCCGAGGCCACCGGAACATTCGTGTGCGGGCCGCCTCTCACGCCTGATACGTTCGCCCCTTCTTGTGCCCTGCGCTCCTTGCTCCTCGCCGCTCTCCCATCGGTGCTCGACTCTCTCCTCGCTCCTGGCTCCTCTCTTCTCGCTCCTCCTCGCTCCTCTCCTCTGGCCCCTCGCTCCTCCTTTTTGGCTACTGGCGCCTGCCCCCCCCCCCCTCCGCCCTCCTCGGCTCTTCATCATCCCTCTTCGCTCCTGTATCCTCGGGCGTCGCGCTTTCAATCTTGCTCCTTGCTCCTCGCTGATCGTTCCTCGCTTCTCCCATCTCTCTCTTCTAGCCCTGCTCCTCGCTGCGTGTTCCTCGCTCCTCCCTCCGTGGTTCACTCACGAGCAGCAGGTTGCGTCAGCTAGCAGGAATACCAAAGTGCAGCTCCCTGCAGCCCCAAGCAGCAACAGCGAACAGCAGCAGCAGCAGACAGTCCGTGGCAAGTAGCATCATGGGTAGCACGCAGAAAAAGCACGCAGCAGCACCTTGCAGTCGCAGGTGGCAACGGCAGAGGTGACAATTCCGTCCCGACCCAATGTGCCATCTCGGTTCTAAAATGCCAGGAGCGCCGCGTGCCAGAAGGGTGACAGGGACAAGTAGATCAAAATCGACCCCAGGGCACCCCCGGTGTACTTCAGCATTAAGATGTCCCCAGATTTCCAATTGACCGCCCAAGAGGGCTCCATGACGGCCCCAGAGAGCTCCAAGAAAGTCCAAGAACGCCCCAAGACGGCCCAAGATGGCCCCCCTACGCTCCAAGACTCTCCAAGAGAGCCATTAGACCGCCAGACAGAGAGCTCCGAGAAAGCCCAAGAACACCCCAAGGCGGCTCAAGAGGGCCTTCCGACGGCCCAAGGTGCCCCCGGCGCGCCCCAAGACGGCTCGAAGGGACTCCCCGGGAGAGCCTCCAGCAGCATATACAGTGTATGTTCCCATTGTGTTTGTTTCAAACATGTTCGTATACTCGTGTCTGCCTGGCCGCAGATCGCCCACGATGGCCCCAGAGGTCCCCCGAGATCGCCCCAAGGCGGCCCAGGAGGCCCCAAGAGGTCCCCAAGACTGCCCACCAACAGGGCTCCATGACGGCCCAACAGGGCCCCAAGAGAGCTCCAAGTAGTTTCAAGAGAGCTACTAGACCGCCCAAGACGGCTCCAAGACGGCCGCAAAGGGCTCCAAGGAAGCCAAAGAACGCCCCAAGAAAGCCCGAGATGGCTTCTCGACTGCCCAAGGCGCCCCCAGCCTGACCTCAGATCGCCCACAAGGGCCCCCCGAGTTCGCCCCAAGACGGCCCGAGAGGCCCCCAAGAGGGCCCCAAGATTGCCCAACAGGGCCCCAAGACGGCCCAACAGGGCTTCAAGGCGGCCCAGGTGACCCCCAAGACGATCCACGAGGCTGCCAAGGTGGACCCAAGATGGCCCCAGTGTGCCCCCCGACCGCCACCGGACTTCCCCCAAGCACTACCAAGGTGCACTTCGGGCCGCCCAGACGCCCAAGGGGGCTCCAAGGGAACCCGAACAACCGAAAATGGTCGAAGAAGGCCGCCACTGAACCCTAAGAGGGCGCGATGCGCGACCAAGAGGAGTGCATGTTGGCAGCCCCCTCCGTGTCAGCCGAATTCACTTCGATTAAAACACGTGGACGTAATCCACGGGTCATCCCTAGTCTCTCCTGCATGGCCAGTGGAAGCGCGTGCGAGAATGGTTCACAGGGCCTCGTGTGCACAAAATCGCCCCTTTACGGCGCCACCACAGGGCCGAATCGCTCAGGCTGGTTCCAGAGGCGCTACAGAGGGGTCCCAAACCGTCCAAGAGCGCTCCAAGACGGCCTCAGTGGGTCCCGCGACGGCCCACGAGGGCCCGAAGCCTTCCGGGGGGGGCTCCACGACGATCCAAGAGGCCGCAAAGGCGCCCCAAGAGGGCCCCGAGCGCACGCCAAAGAGGCACAAATCGTCAAATTCCGATGGGGAAACGTATATTTTCAGCATGCCCGCCTTGTGTGCTCCTCAGCGGCCCAGGACACGCCAAGAGGCCTCCCAAATCGCCCCAAGAAGACGCCAGCGGCCCCGAAGAGGGCTCCAAGACGGCCCATAAGAGCCCAAAGACGACGCCAGAGAGCCCTGAAACGGCTTCACAGAACCCCAAGACGGCCCCAAGAGAGCTCCGAGGGGGCCCCAAGAGGCTCCCAAGACGGCCTCAGGCAGTTTCAAGAGAGCTCCAAGACGGTCCAAGGCCTCCCAGACGCCCCGTGACGGCCCAAAAAGGCCCCCAAACGTCCCAAAACGCTCCCAGAGCAGCCCAAAAAAGCTTCAGAATGGCCCGAAAAAGACCCCCACAAGGACCACCAAGCAGGCCCAGGGACGCCCACTAAAAGAGCGATCGGCGAAGTACTGGGCTGTCCCCCGAAGGAGGCTCGGGGGGACAGCCCGGGAACGGCCCCAGAGGCGCCCAAAAAAGCTTCAAGAGAAAAGGCCCCCAGAGTCCCAAGGGGACGGCCCAAGAGGGCCCCAAAAGGCCCTTAGGAGGCCGCGAGACAGCCAACGAGGCCCCAACAGGCCCCCTGGAGCTCGAAAAGAAACCCCGAGAGGCCCACTAACCGTTCCCAAGGAGACGGCAGCGCCCGCCATCAGGCGCCGAAGAGGCAACCGGAAAAAAGTCACCAGAGCCCTCCGGGTGACTTTTTTCAAGGCCCCAGGTGCTTTCAGAATTGACAAGCGGCGAGACGTACACCGCAGACCCACCAATAGCCGTTTGTGACGCTCCCAAGGCTGTCTAGGCTGAGGTAAAGCGGAAGGCGGACGAAGAGAAGGAAGCGGTCCAAGAGGGCCTCCGAGACGGCCCAAGACCGCTCGAAGACGCTCCAGACGAGCCGCGGTAAACGAAATCATTAATTCCCCGATGGTTTCTGAAAGATTTCCACCTTCTCGCCATTTCGAGCGAAGACAGGCACAAGACGGCCTTTTCGAGCCAAGACTGACCCAAGATGACGTGGACGAAGTCCACGGGTTCACCCTAGTCAGCTACAATGCTGGGATCAGTGCGTGTGAGAAGGGCGAGCAATGGCAGCGAGCACTTGCACTGCTTGCTGAGATGCGGGAGGCGACAGTGGAGCTCAACGCCATCAGCTACAACGCTGGGATCAGCGCTTGTGAGAAGGGCGAGCAATGGCAGCACGCGTTGGCGCTGCTAAGCCAGATGCGGGAGGCGAAAGTGGAGCCCGACGTCATCAGCTACAGCGCTGGGGTCAGCGCGTGCGAGAAGGATGGCCAGTGGCAGCAAGCTTTGTGGTTGCTTTGGGACATGAAGGCTGTGAATTTAGAGCCCAGCGTTATCAGTTTTAATGCTGGGATAAGCGCGTGCGAGAAGGGTCTGCAATGGCAGCACGCGCTATCATTGCTCCGCGAGATGAGGGACGCAAAAGTGGAGACCAGCATCGTCAGCTACAACTCTGGGATCAGCGCGTGCGAGAAAGGCAGACAGTGGCAGCACGCGTTGTTGTTGATCAGTGATATGTGGGAAGTAAAATTGGAGCCTGACATCATCAGCTGCAACGCTGGGATAAGCGCATGCGAGAAAGGGGCTCAATGGCAGAAGGCACTGTCACTGTTCAGCAACATGCGGGATGCCAAATCGGAGCCGGAAGTGATGACCTACAACGGTTGCATCAGCGCGTGCGAAAAAGGTGGGCAGTGGCAGCGTGCATTGTCGTTGCTCACGGAGCTGCGGAAGGACAAACTGAAGCCGACAGTCGTGAGCTACAATGCAGCGGTCAGTGCGTGCGAGAAGAGCGGGCAGTGGCAGCGAGCACTGTCAGTGTTTGATCAGTTGTTGTCGGCGAGTGTGGAGCCCAGCGCCATCAGCTACAACGCTGGGATCAGCGCTTGCGAGAAAGGTCGGCAATGGCAGCATGCTATGTCGCTGCTCCGGCAGATTCGGGTAATGAAGATCGAGCCTCACATTACCAGCTACAATGCTGGAATCAGCGCCTGTGAGAAGGGCAAGCAGTGGCAGCTTGCCCTGCTCTTGTTCTCCGAAGCTGTGGACGCGAGGCTGGAGAGGAGCGTGTACAGCTACAGTGCCGCAGTCCTCGCGTACGAGAGAGGCGGCCGTTGGCGGCACGCGTTGTCGCTGCTCCGCGAGATGTTGGAGGTGAGCGTGGAGCCGAACACGATCAGCAAGCCCAAGGAGCATATCAAGTACATGCGGTTTGGGGCCCTCTTGGGGCCCCTTGGGCGCTCTTGCGGCCCTCTTGGGGCCTTCGGGCCCCTCCAAGGCAGGACTGGGTGCATTCTGCCACAGAAAGGCCTCTCGTGGCAGAATGGTGGGCCCGCGCCCGGCGGCGTCCCGGGGCCCTCTTGGAGCCCACTTGCAGCCCTCTGGGGGCCCTCTTCGTGCCCTCTAACACGTCCCACCCATGGTTCGGCAACCCCCGCCGCTAGTGGCAGCAAGCGCGGGTACGCACTAGTCTACACTACAACGCAGGGACACGTGCGTGCGGGAAGTGCGGGCGCTGGCGGAGCGTAACCGGCCCCCCTGGTCGCCCCACAACGGCCCTAGACGCACTAGATGGCCACAGAGCGCCCAAGACGGCCCAAGAGGGCCTTCGACACAGCGCTCCGAGATGCCCAAGCTACGCACCAGACGGCTCAAAAATCCTCCCGAGACGCTCCAAGTCGGCTCCAGGACGAGCCCCAAAAAAGCCAGATCAATGAAAGTTCTTAAAATTATCCTGGCGAAGGACCCAACCATACGCAAGTGTGAGAACCGCAGGGCAGGTGGGACGAAGCAAGGGGAATTCCCAATGGGGCCACGAACCGTGTGAGTGGTGCGCCAAAATGGGGCGTGGCCGCCATGCGAACCCTGCGACTGGGGCCTTCGGTGGAGGTCCCCATGGGGCCACGAACCGTGTGAGGGGTGCGTCAAAACGGGGCGGAGCCGCCATGCGAACCTTGCCACCGACGCCTTCGGTGGAGCTCCCTATGGGGCCACGAACCGTGTGACGGGTGCTCCAAAATGGGGCGGGGTCGCCATGCGAACCCTGCCATTGGAGCCTTCGGTGGAGCTCCCTATGGGGCCACGAACCGCGTGAGGGGTGCACAAAAATGGCGCGGGGCCGCCTTGCGAATCCTGCCACTGGGGCCTTCGGTGGAGCTCTCTTTGGGGCCACGAACCGTGCACGGGGTGCGCCAAAATGGGGCGGGGCCGCCATGCGAACCCTGCCACTGGAGCCTTCGGTGGAGCTCCCTATGGGGCCACGAACCGTGTGAGGAGAACGCCAAAACGCGGGGCCGCCATGCGAACCCTGCCACTGGAGCCTTCGGTGGAGCTCCCTATGGGGCAACGAACCGTGTGAGGGGTGCGTCAAAATGGGGCGGGGTCGCCATGCGAACCCTGCTACTGGGGCCTTCGGTGGAGCTCCCTATGGGGCCACGAACCGTGTGACGGGTGCTCCAAAATGGGGCGGGCCGCCATGCGAACCCTGCTACTGGGGCGTTCGGTGGAGCTCCCTATGGGGCCACGAAACGTGTGAGGGGTGCACCAAAACGGGGCGGAGCCGCCATGCGAACCTTGCCACCGACGCCTTCGGTGGAGCTCCCTATGGGGCCACGAACCGTGTGACGGATGCGCCAAAATGGGGCGGGGCCGCCATGCGAACCCTGCCACTGGGGCCTTCCCTATGGGGCCACGAAACGCTGTACTGGGTGGGTGAAGCGCAGGGAGGAGGGAGGAGGGGGCAGCGGGAGGAGGTGACGCGGGGACCGTCTCTTCAAAACGAGGGCCCAACACCACAGGATGGTTGGGAACAAATCCTAAGGAAAACGAGCCTTTTTCCAGGTCCACTGCTTTTTGTCCACTGCGATGTCCACACGGCCCTACTGGCCCTCCAGATCACCCCACCACGCCTCTGGAAGCCCACTAGACGGCCCCAAGACGGCCCCACGATGGCTCTTGAGGCGCCGATGGCAGCCCAAGAGGCTGCCGTGACAGCGCCGCGACGGTCCCAAAACGAGTCAAGACGGCTCCGAGACGGCTCCAAGACGGCCCCAGAGGCGCTAAGACGGCCGAAGAGACCCACAAGACCGCCCAAGGACTGCCCAACAGGCTTCCAAGCGCGTCCCCAGATGGCCCAGGGAGCCCCAAGATGGCCCAAAAGGCGCCCAAGACGGCCCCAGAGGACCCTAAGCCAGGCCCACGAGGGGGCCAAAGAAAGTGGAAAAACCTTGACACTCCGAGCCCTGGGCCCCCATACACCCACACAAAGCCCCAAGACTCTACCCCCCCAAGAGGCCTCCAAGAGCCTCCAACAGTACTCCGAAGCATGCCTCCAGAGTCCACAATCCTTAATGGTTCAATTGTTTTTGATGGAGTTTTGCCTTCTCGCCTTCTCGGCTAGCCAGACGGCCGAAGAGACCCACAAGACCGCCCCAGGACGGCCCACCAGGCCTCCAAGCGCGTCCCCAGACGGTCCAGGGAGCCCCAAGATGGCCCAAGAGGCGCCCAAGCCGGCCCCAGAGGACCCCAAGCCAGGACCCCCAGGAGGGACCCAAGAGGCAAACATTGCCCTATTCGCTTGGGAAAACGTGCATTTTTGATATGCTCGCTCTTTTCGTCTTCACCGCGTCCAAGACGGCTATACAGGCCTTCCCGATCGCCCTAAGACGGCCCCAGAGCACCCCAGGAGGGCCTCCAGACAGCTATACAGGCCCCCCACCTCGACCCAGGACGGACCCAAGACAGCCCCAAGAGCAGCCAAGAATGGCCAACGGGACGGCTCCGAGAGGCTCCAGGGGGCGCCAAGACGGCCTCAGAGCATCCTTGGGAGCCCCAAGGCAGCCCCAGAGGCCCCCAAGGCAGGCCAGGAGGCTCCCAAGACGGCCCAGGAGGGCCTCCAGGAGAGCCCAAGAGCCCCAAATCGTCCCATTCCCTGCGGGAAACGCACATTTTCGCTATGTTCCGTTTTGTTCGCCCTCTCAGCATCCAAGACGACTATAGAGGCCCTCCACCTCGCCCCAAGACGCGCCCAGAGGCCCCCAAAGGGCACCACACGGCCCAGGGACGGCTGCAGAGGCGCCCGAGACGGCCCAGGACGCACCCAAGACAGCCCCAAGAGCAGCCAAGAATGGCCAACGGGACGGCTCCGAGAGGCTCCAGGGGGCGCCAAGACGGCCTCAGAGCACCCTTGGGAGCCCCACGACAGCCCCAGAGGCCCCCAAGGCAGGCCAGGAGGCTCCCAAGACGGCCCAGGAGGGCCTCCAGGAGAGCCCCAAGAGCCCCAAACCGTCCCATTCCCGACGGGAAACGCACATTTTCAATATATCTTACTTTTTCGTCTTCGCAGCGTCCAGAAGGCTATACAGGCCCCCCAGCTCGCCCCAAGACGCGCCCAGACGCCCCCATGAGGGCGCCCAAAGGGCCACACACTGCCCCGGGACGGCTCCAGAGGCGCCCGAGACGGCCCAAGACGCACCCAAGACAGCCCCAAGAGCAGTTCATAATGGCCCAAGACGGCCCCACCGCCTCGTCTCCAAGACGGCTGTAGATGCCCCCGCCGCCCCGTCTCCAAGCCTTTCCGTGTGGACAGTCTTCACGACGGTCTCTGGGCCGTCCGGGCCGGCTCCAGAGGCGCCCGAGACGGCTCAAGAAACACCAAAGACAGCCCCAGTAGCGCCCAATATTGGCCCAAGATGGCCCCAAGATTGTCCCAAGATGGTCCGAGAGGCGCCCAAGACGGCCCCATATCACCCCAAGACGGCCCAAGATGCACTCAAGACTGCCAAAGAGGGCTCCGAGAGACCCACCCCCAGGAGGACGAAAAGAGGCCCCCGAGAGGCCTTGGATGCTTCTCTCTTGGGGAACGTCCAACTTCCAGCATCGTTTTGGAGACTTCTTGGACCCTCTCGGAGCCATCTCTGCGCTATTTGGGGACGTCTTGGGGAGGTGCGCTCGAAAAATCGATTCGTGTCCTCGCACTGAGGCCCTTCTTAGTGAGTTCCGTCTCGCCGCCCTCTTGCGGGCCTCCTAGGCCGCGCCCACTGGCCCCATTGTCACCGCACTGCCAGATGAAATTATCATTCGGCCCCGGCGAAGAGCAGATAAACTTCTCACGGCTACCTTCCCCGCATAAGCTATGATGAACACAGAATGCGACGTCAGAAACAGCTTCTGTCCACACCATGTCATGCCTACATGGGTGTGCTTCCACTGACACCGCCTCCACCACCGCGTTCCTGCCTTCAGGCCTGCTTGCCTGCATCCCTCGCCCACCTTCCCTCCAGCGGCCACCTCCTCCATCCACGCCGTCCCCTCCAACCCCCCCTTACCCGCGAGGCCCCAGAGACGCTCCACTTCCACGTGCACGCCAGGGCGGGCAAATTCCGCGGCCGGAGGCCGCAGGTCAGCCCTAGTCTCTACTACATTGCAGGGCCCAGTGCGTGCCAGAAGGGCGCAGGCTCCAATGTCTCAAAACCGCCCCGGGCTGGCCCCGGGCCGCCCCGGGCCGCCCAGGCAGGCTCCAGGACATGTCGGGAGGGCCCCCAGAAGCCCCCAAGACGGCCCCGGAGAGCCCCGGCACGCTTAAAGATGGGCCCAAGACGCCCGAGATTCGCCCCAGGCGGCCCAAGAGGCGTCCAAGACGCCCGAAGAGGCCTCCCAAGAGGCCTCCCAAGAGGGCCCCGAGCGACAGAAATCGTCGATTTCTATTGTGTTTTTCGATGTTTTCGGCCTCCTCGCCTCTTCGGCTTCCCGACGCTCCAAGACGGCCCAAGAAGTCCCCCCGACCGCTCCAAGACGGCCGAAGAGGACCCCAAGAGAGCCCCAAGACGGGCCAGGAGGGCCCCCAGACGGTCCCAAGACGCCCCAGGACGGCCCCAGGACGGCCCAGGAGGCGCCCAAGACGGCCCAAGAGGCACCCAAGACGGCCCCAGGAGCGGCCCAAGACGGCCCAGACAGCCCAAGAGGCGCCGAGGCGGGTCTCAGACGGCCCCAAGACGGCCCAAGAGGCACCCAAGACGGCCCGAGAGGGCCCTAAGAGCCCCCCCGGGAGGCCCAAAAGAAGGCCGAAGAGGCTCCGAAACGGCCCCCACGAAGCCTTCAGTGCCTTCAGAATTCCCTCCAGGAGCGGGGGAGCGGACGAGAGGCGACAGGCATATCGCAGGCAAAAACGCCCCAAGAGATCCCCAAACGGCCCCCACGAAGCCCTAAGTGGCCTCAGAATTGCTTCCAGGAGGGGGGGAGCGGACGAGAGGCGACCGGCATATCGAAGGCACAAAAGAACAATGTTGGACGCTCCGAGGGCCTTCGATGTTTCTCCGTTGGGGAGAGTCGTCGTAGGATCGACGATTGCCGACCGAGGGCAGCGAATCCAGTGGAGGCCCAAGAGGCCCCCAGGAGCCCAAAAGAGATCCCCAAGAGGTGCCACGGGGCTTAAAAACTGCTTCGAAGCGAGGGGGGCGGACGAGGGGACCGCCTCAGGAGGTTTTGGACGGTTTTGGGCCTCAAAATCGTCCGCTTTACGACGGTTTTGGAAGGATTTTGGCCTTCTCGCCTTTTCCGCTTTCCGACGCTCGAAGACGGCCCAAGAGGCCTCCAAGAGCGCCCCAGAACGGCCCAAGAGGTTTCCAAGAGCGCCCCAAGACAGCCCAAGAGGGCCCCAAGACGACCCAAGAGACGCTCAAGACGGCCCACGAGGGCCCGAAGACAGGCCCAAGAGGGGGCCAAGAGGGGGACCACGGACCGAAAATCCGAGCCTTCCGCCCCAAGAGGGCGCCAGGAGGCCCAAACAGGCCCCCAAGAGGCCCCAAGGGGCCGCCAAGAATCCCCCGAAGAGGCCCCAGGAGGCTCCCAAGGAGCCCAAACGAGGCCCCTACAGAGGCCCCAACAGCTTCCAAAATGGCCCCGAAGAGGCCTCGAGCCCGCCTCCGAGCTTCCTCGCCGCGAGGGTGCCAACACGGCCCCAGACCGGCCCAGGACGGCCCAAGGCGCGCTCAAGACGGCCCAAGACGATTCCAAGACGGTCCCAGGAGGGTGCGCCCAGGACGGCCCAAGGACGCGCCCGTTCGGGGCCTCAAGACGGGCCAAGATGGCAAGAGAGTCCCAGCTGGCAAAAATCGTTAATTTTCCATTGTTTACTGTTACACCCTTTGCGTTTCCCGCCGTTTCGGCGGTCCGATGCACCAAGAGGCCCCAGAAAGTCCCAGGAGGGTCCGAGGAACCGCCCAGGAAGGCCCCAAGACGGGCCAAGACGGACCCAGCACAACCCAAGGCGCGCTGCGACGGCTCAAGACGGCTCCAAGACAGCCCCAAGAGGGTGCCAACACGGCCCCTGCTGGGCCCAGGACGGCCCAAGGAGGCGCACAGGAGGGGCCCAAGACGACTCCAAGGCGGCCTCCTCACGGTCCCAGACGGCTCCAAGACAGCCCCACGAGGACCCCGATGGGCCCAGGACGGCCTACGGACGCGCCCATGAGGGGCCCACGACGAACCAAGACGGCCCCATCAGGGCAAACGGCGCCCTCAAGACGGGCCTAGACGGCTCCAAGACGGCCCTTTGAGGGAGCCAACGCGGCCCCACACCCTTCGGGCGCACACTTGGGGGGGCTGGGAGCTTGCGACAAGTCTCCCACATTCATTGTCCTGCCCCATTCTGTTCGCCTGGAGGCCTCCTCCAACCCTGTGGGCGAACAAGAGGAATCCCAGCGGGACGCCAACCCTGGGGCCCGTGGGCCCCGCGCCGCTTGGGCAGAAGACGAACGCCGGGTCTGACAGGCCAGCTACCGCCCCCCTTTGCCCGATATGCTGTGCCATTCTGTTCCCCCAGGGGCCTTGGCAAACTCTTCGGGCCAAGCAGACCGGACCCCTGGGACAGCAGCCAATTGATATGACCCTGGGACCTCTCCGCATTCTTCGGACGAGCATCTGGGGGGCCCAGGAGATTCGGGCATGTCTTCCCCATTCCTTGCCCTGTCCCGTTCTGTTCGCCCGAAGGCCTCCACAGACCCTCTGGGCGAACAGAATGGGACATGGCGAACAAACCCTCCCGTTGGCGGTGATGCGACTGGATCGCACCATCAAGGCGCGCCCGGAGGTGATGGCCGACCCAACAGCGGTTTCTCTTAAGAGTTCACTGGATTTCAAATTTTCTTGAAGCTCTCTTGGGCCCTCCCTGTAGATCCTTGCGAGCCTCCCCGGCGCTTTCGGTGGCTTTCCCCGATGGCCTCCCGAGCCCTTCCCCGAGCGCTCCTGAGACGCCTCAGATGGGCTTCGACTTCGACGCACATCCCCGAGAGACTTCGAAACTGTCCTCAATAGGAGGGGGGTGAACGAGCAGTGCGCTGGGCCAAGCTGCTGCAGCGCTGCAAGAGCTCGGACACGAAGGCGCGGTCTCGCTGCCGCCGCCCGAGCCGCCGCCGTGTTTGTAGATTTTCGGTGCAATCTGCGCCGTTCCTCCGAGAACCATTCCAGAAAGATGTCGTGGACGGAGTCCACGGGTCAGCCCTAGTCAGCTACAACGCCGGGATCAGCGCGTGCGCGAAGGGCGGGCAGTGGCAGCGGGCTCTGTCCATGCTCCGCGAGATGCGAGAGGCGAAGCTGGAGCCCGACCTCATGAGCTACTGCGCGGGGGTCGGCGCGTGCGAGAGGGGCGGGCAGTGGCAGCGAGCCCTGGCGCTGCTCGGCGAGATGCGGGGGGCGGGTCTGGAGCACAACGCCATCAGCTTCAACGTTGGGGTCAGCGCGTGCGAGAAGTCCAACTGTCCCGGCGCAGGGGGTTCACTCCTCCGTTGGCCGAGCCAGGGGGATCCACTGAGAGGCGCAATCTGTGCGTCGGCCGCAGGGTGAAGTTGCTTTAAGAAGCTCTCCGCAGCTCTCCGTCACATGTTTTCGTGTCGTTATGGGGCGTGAAAGTGTTCCGGCTATCACGCGTGCCAGGCTCACTCGGCCCCCCTGCAACGACCTGTGCATAGTAGAGGGCCCGCTCACTCTTTCCTCCTCCGCCTCCCCCAGTCCAGCCCTGTATAGTTGGGTTCCTTGGTGGGAGCCCAGTCAAGGGGGAGGCTTTGGGGCGCCTATATTTGCTGCACCTGTATATGTACGATTCAACCTGCGTGCTGGCGGTGGCGCTGACGCGCTCATGATGTATGGGTCGAGCGCCGTTTGCTCAAAAGGCAGGTCTGCTCTCTTTTGCCCGGCATCCTGGGGGGAGCCTGGCAGCGCTGAAGAGTTCGCTTGACGATGGGCCCAATCCTTTGCAGTGTGGATGTAGACAGTTAATGAAGATGATGATGATGATGATGATGATGATGATGATGATGATGATGATGATGATGATGATGATGATGATGATGATGATGATGATGATGATGATGATGATGATGATGATGATGATGATGATGATGATGATGATGATGATGATGATGATGATGATGATGATGGTGATGGTGATGGTGATGGTGATGGTGATGGTGAGGAGGAGGAGGAGGAGGAGGTGGAGGATGAGGAGGATGAGGATGAGGATGAGGATGAGGATGAGGATGAGGATGAGGATGATGATGATGATGATGATGATGACGATGATGATGATGATGATGATGAAGAAGATGATGATGCTTATGCTGATGCTGATGCTGATGCTGATGATGATGACGACGCTGATGACGATGATGATGAGCAGGAGTGGGAGGAGGAGGAGCAGGAGGAGGAGGAGGAGGAAGAATCGGAGGAGATAAGAGACGACGGATGAGGAGGAGGAGTAGTAGGAGAAAGGGGATGAGCAGGGGAAGGCGAAAATGTGAGGAGACATTTGGCAAGAGCTCAATTTTGAAAACGACCTGTGCTCCATCCGTGTAGCTGTGGGTGGGAACTTTTCAGCCTCGACATCGCAGACAGTGAGGAAGCCTCAGGCTACATGTTTCCCACCCTGCCCTGACGACATGCCCGGTGGTGCGACATGGATGGAGGTACTTACGAAGGTCAGAGGTGAAGGAGGTTGGAGGTTCGAGGATCGATGCTCTGGAGCGTCCTGAACATGGGCGGGGCTGCTCGGAGGCGCCGCGGCTGGGCCCCTGACGACATGTCCGGTGGTGCGGTATGGATGGGGGCACTTACCGGGGTCAGAGACGACGGAGGTGGGAGGTTCGAGGACCGACTTTTTGAGGGGGCGTGAGCACGGGCTGGGTTTCTCGGAGGCTCCTCGTCGCCGCGGCTGGGCCCCCCGTCGCCGAGCCGAGCCCCCTTCGCGCCTGCCTCGCGAGAGTCGCCGGAGCTCACCGTCCGGCCGGTGGAGGAGGATGCGGAGAAAGGAGCGCACGCGGAGGGCCGGGAGACGTCAGTTTACCGCTTCTGTGTCCTCCTCCTCCTCCTCCTCCTCCTCCTCCTCCTCCTCCTCCTCCTGCTCCTCCTCCTCCTCTCCTCCTCCTCCTCCTCCTCCTCCTCCCTCCTCCTCCTCCTCCTCCCCCTCCTCCTCCTCCTCCTCCTCCTCCTCCTCCTCCTCCTCCTCCTCCTCCTCCTCCTCCTCGTGTGCCTTCTGCATATGACACCACCTCTGGTGCCCTACGCTCGGCGAGTTAGCTGCTCGAGATCCGAGGCTCTGCTTGGAGATGGAGAGGGGTTCCCTTCGAAGGCCCTTGTCGACCCTCCGGAGCAGAGTCTCCGCAGGCTGATTATGTTATTCCACATTCGCCGTCTGTCACCTGCCGCAGCGAACAAGTTCGACCTTCAAGGAGTTCCCCAGAGACCGCCCGAACCATTGGCCGATCGGCAAAGTCGGCCACCGATCTGGTCATCTCATGACTCTGTGCCTCCTCGCTTCTCCATCTCCTCCTCCCCCTCCCCCGTTCCCCCTTGTTCTTCAGGTTGCCTCCGGAGGCCAGCTTCGGGCTCCGCGGCCGTGAAAATGGCTCTGGATGAAAATCAGGCCGTGGAGAGGGTCCCAGGGGCCCGAATATGGAAAAAGCCTGGGCGCTGGACGTCTGGGGAGGCGGAGGCGTCGTCCCCTCTCCCACCTTCGCCGTCGCCCTCGCCCTGCGCACCCCGCCCGCCCTCATCGTCGGCTTCTCCTCCCATCCCCTTCAACAACCTTGTGTTCCTCTTTCTCTTCCTCCTCCTCCTCCCTCCTCCTCCTCCTCCTCCTCCCTCCTCCTCCTCCTCCTCCTCCTCCTTCCTCCTCCTTCCTCCTCCTCCTCCTCCTCCTCCTCCTCTTCTCCCTGTATCTCTCCCTCTCCCTCTCCCTCCCCTTTTCTCCCCCCCCCCTCCACGTCCCCCCCTTCCTCCCATCGCCTCCCTCTCCCCCCCGCCCCGCTCCCCTTCCCCTCGCCTCCGCCTCCCTCTCCCCTTCCGCTCCCGCCCTCTCGCCCCCTTCCCCCCCCCACCGCTTTCCTCCCTTCTCGGCGGCGCGCGCCCTCAGCCGAGGCCAGACGGCCTCACAGCTCGGCCCCCCCCCGGGCCCCCGCTCGGCGCGCTCGCGCCCGACCCCCCACGCCCGGCGCCGCGCCCGCGCGCGCGCGCCGTCCCCCCGGAATTAGTGCGCGATGGGCGGCCCCGCCAAGCACGGCGATGGAGCCCCCGAGCCGCCGGAGGAGAGCCCCGCCCTCGCGCGGCCCCATGCTCGTCGATGGCCCTCCGTCCCCGCTGGTGCCGTGCGCCTGCCCACTTCGGCGCGTTTGTGAAGTGGGCACGACGGGAGTTGTTTGCCGTTCTCGGGTTGTGCGGACCGTCGCCAGGCCACGGGACCGTCAAATAGGTGCCTGAATGCGAAAAATCTGCTCTGGGGAAGAGAGCGCAGATCTCCTGGGTTTCCCGCTCTGGAAAAAAAGTCGACGCCAGGGTTCTGCATGAGGAGGAGGAGGAGGAGGAGGAGGAGGAAGAAGAATAATAACAAGAACAATAACGAAGGAGGAGGAAGAGGAGAAGGAGAAGGAGGAGGAGGAGGAGGAGGAGGAGGAGGAGGAGCAGGAGGCGAAAGACGAATTCAGCGAGGGCGCGGCTCGACGAGGGAGAGGGAGGAGGCCAGAGGGGGCGGCCGAGACTTAAAGAAGGGGAGGTGGAGGAGTCGGAGGAGGAGGAGGAAGAGGAGGAGGAGGAGGAGGAGAAGGAGAAGGAGAAGGAGAAGGAGGAGAAGGAGGAGAAGGAGGAGGAGGAGAAGAGGGCTCCGCTCCAGAGGAAGGAGGACACAACCGCAGCTTCACTCTTCGAGGAGGAGGCCTCGTCTCGCCCACGGGTCGGGCTTGGCTCGTGAAGCCTGCCAGAAGCCGCGCGCACGCATTCAGGGTTCGGGCACGAGGGGATGGGGAGGGGACGGGCGATGAGCGGCCGGGCGGCCGGGCGCCCTGCCTCAGCTCCGGAGGCTCGGGCCAGGGACGGCCACGGACAGTTGCCCCGCGTAGGGGGGGGGGGTCCAGCTGGAGGTCGCCCCGCTGGGCGGGTCCTCCCTCCTCCTCCTCCTCTTCCTCCTCCTCCTCCTCCTCCTCCTCCTCCTCCTCCGTAGCCATTTTGGCTCAAGCCGTTCTGGCTCGGGCTGTTGTGGCCTGGGCTTGCAAGCGCGTGCTTCAGAGCGGCTCGCGCTTGCGGGCCAATCGATTGTTTCTCTCACGAGGCCTGGAAGGCCAACTCTCAGAGCTGCGGGACCCCCTGCGGTGAATGGCACCGCCCGATGGCCAAGAGCTGCTGGGGCCGCGCGTACCTCACCGGGGCTGCTCCTGTGGCTGCGCGGACAACTGGGCGTCGAGGATCGCGTGCCGTCAGTGCGGGCGCCCTGCTGCACAGAAGCACGTCCAGGCGGCACGGCTGGCAGCGCCAAGGGCCAAGTCAGCATCGCGGCCGTCTGGTCCAGGACCCAAGCAGCCAATGGGGCAATGGGCGAACGGTCCGCCAGGGAGTGCCAACTCGAAGTTGCTCAAGCAGCTCCAGGACCTGCAGCAGCAGGTTGCGAAACTCACTGGAGGCTCTCGGCCCGAGTCAGGGGCTGCGCCGCCATGGGCTGGGGGGGTCGGGGGCAAAGGCAGTGAAGCCCTCCCCCCGCTGCTGGACAGGATGTGGTCGCCTACCTCAAGAAGTTCGGGGTCGACAGCGCTGCCATTCTGGCGGTTGAGGAGGCCGAGAAGAAGGCTTCGGAAGCAGGGAAGAAGTCGGCCCCCACTGCACAGTCGTCGCGCTGGCGTCGGCAAGTTCGCGGCGAGGGTCAGCGAGATCGAGAGGCAGCGCGAGTCTTTGGACGTGGAGCTTGCGACGGTCAACGAGTCCCTTGCCAAAGGGCGCGAGGACCTGGCGCAGGCGCAGGAGCTGCTGTGCAAAGCCCATGCCGGCGAGTTCGACGACCCGCTCAAAGCCATGTCGGCAGGCCTCGCTTCGTCCGTCGTCGAGTCCACGGAGGGGAAGGCAGCGTTGGAGAAGCTGCAGGAGCTGCAGCGTGCAGCCGAGGAGGCGAAGCGCGTTGCTGATGATGCTGCAGCAGCTGCTGGCGCTCCTGCTCCGACCCCAGGAGGGAGTGGCGAGCACGTGGCAGCCAGCGACGGTGACGGAGTCGATATCGACATGGAGCTGCTGGGAGCTGGCGGCTTCGAGCAGCGGACCGAGGAGCTCCGCAAAGCAGGAGAGGAGCTCAAGGCGGCCGCCCCAGGCGAAGCTCAGGAGGCGGCCGAGCGCAAGTATGCCCAAGCTGTCGCAGCGCTCGGGTTCAAGCGAGCACGGCGGCTTTGACGACCAGCTCGACTGGGTCTGGAGCAACGTTGAGGGCGCTGCCGGGGCAGATGCACTCGACCCGCAGGCATGGCCTGTGCTGGGCGCGGTTGGGCGGCAGCCGAAGCTGAGGGGCGCGTGCCTGAAGGGCAGGAGGGAAGGGGGTTCAGGCCCCATTCGGTCAGACCCTCCTGCCCGCATGTGCTTCGAGTTCAAGTGCGAACTGCACGTCTTCGGCGCCCCCCTGCGCTGCCCCAGCCGGCTGGGGATGCGCCCCCCCTGCGCCGGGGACAAGTGCAGGCCAGACAGGGCCCGCGGGATCGGCCTCAGCGGCAGCGACATTGTCGGCGGCCCGGAGCTCGGGCGCGGCCCCCTCTTCCTCGGGCCCGCCGCCGCCTGGGAGCTCGTCGGCGTTGGGGCGCAAATTCTGGGAGCCCGTGGGGCTCCCAGGTTCACCGTCGCCCCCTGTTCGATCCTCCTCCAGGGCACCCCTTCCGCCGGAGGCGGGGGCGACAGCGCGCGATGGAGGCGGGCAGGGCGTTCGCTGGGCGCAGGCATCAGGGAGCTCGGCCATTGGACGAGCTTCTCTCTCTCTCTCTCTCTCTCTCTCTCTCTCTCTCTCTCTCTCTCTCTCTCTCTCTCTCTCTCTCTCTCTCTCTCTCTCTCTCTCTCTCTCTCTCTCTCTCTCTCTCTCTCTCTCTCTCTCTCTCTCTCTCTCTCTCTCTCTCTCTCTCTCTCTCTCTCTCTCTCTCTCTCTCTCTCTCTCTCTCTCTCTCCCCCCCACACACACACACACACTTTGCGTTCGATGCGTTTTCGAAAACACGTCAGTCAGGAGCCGACAGGAGGGGGCGCGGACCCTCTGATCGCAATCTTCGCGCAGACGGATGCATCTCTGATGTAGCTCCGGGGTCTGCCGATCTGCGCGTGGGCGCCAACGTCAACAGTTGGTTGACGGCAGACACTTTCGCGAACTGGGTCCGCGACAGGGCTGAAGCTGGTGATCCCGAAGTTGCTTCGTGGGGCCTCGTTCAGAATAAGTTCCAGGTGGTCGCCCTCCAGGGGACTCGTCTGAAGGCCCCCGACAAGATTATCTCGGCCCAAGGGTGGGCCCGCAGAAGTGGACACCAGATGTCTCTCGGGAAGGCTATCAGCACTGGTGATGGGCCCCATTCAGATTTCAAGAGGAGTGGGAGTCTCGGTCGCGGGGGAGATCGCCTCGAAGCCCCTGGAGCTCCCAGGGGTAGGCAACTACGACGGGGGGATCGTAGGTCGGGTCGTCAGCGCTGGTTCCGATGAGGACCTAGAGATCTACAGTGTTTATTTGATCAACGACCTAGGTGTTGCAGGGGGTAACTCAAAGATCTTGGAAGTGCTGGGCGCGATCCTCCTCTGCAGCAAGAGGCCGCGAATCGCCCAAAGGGGCTGGAACTTCACGCCCGCGGCCCCGTTGCTCTCAAGCTGGGCTCAGCACGTGCACGGCACAGTGGCTGCGCCCGACAAGCCGACTTGCATTGCCTGCGCTCTTAGGACGGCCTCGGGGGAAGCTTTGGAGGTCGAGGTTAGACTTCTTTGTCGTCTCGTCGGTCATCAGCGCGCGCGTGAAAGACGTCCAGGTTGTCCAAGGAGCGCCCCTGCGTCCCCATTGTCCTGCGCTGCTTCGGATGGGGAACCTCTGCTTCGGATGGGGAACCTCTGCCGTTTCAAGCCGTCCAGCACCGCGCTGATGGGCCCGCTGCCGCAGGAGCGGGACGTCCAATTGAGTGACCCTCTGGACAATGACCTCGACGCCTTGTCTCGGGAATGGTTCAACGAAGCCGAAGCTAGAGCGGTGGAGATCCATGCGATCTGCGACCCAAAAGGTTACGTTGGTCGCTCCGTTGGGCCCCAGACCCGCAAAGTTTCTCTTGCTGCCCTCGAAGGTCCCGCTAGGGTCCTGGAAGTCCCAGCTGCTTAACATCCTCGACGATTTGGAGTTGGCCGACGAGGGGCCCACCAAGGCCCACGGGAAATGGGACACGGAGGCGCACGAAGGCATCGACAAGGAATGCGTTCGTCGCCAGCAGCTGGACTCGGCCTTGCAACTGGCGAAGTGGAAGGAGTGGGCCAAGAAAGCTGTTACTGGAGGGGGTAAAGCTGCTCGCGCCTTCTCCAAGCACTAGGTCACGAGCGTCTGCCCGAGAGGTATCGCTGATGATTATCGGCTTCCTGTGGCTGGTCAGGCCGCCCTTCAGCAGCTGCTAGATGCGCGGCATCCTATGTGGTTTCGAGCAGGGCGCGGCCATGCCCCCAGCACTTGGGAGGTCCCAGCCGAGGAGCCCGACCTCTCCCCTCTCAAACTGGAAGACTTATTTCGTGTATGTATGAAATATGGGCCTTCGGCGGGCCTCGGTTGGGACGGCTTTCATCCGCGGTGGGTGCTACAGCTTCCTGAAAGTCACCAGTTCCGCCTCTTGGAGATTCTGACGCCCTTTGAAGTGGACCCTGGGGCATTTATCCTGTCCCTTACCAATGTCGTATTTCTGGACAAACCGTCGGGTGGAGTCAGGCCTATGGGGCTGCTGTGTTTTTCCATGAAGCTTTGAAGCCAGTTGAGGCAGCCATATTGTCGTTCTTGGGAAAAGTCCCACGTGCTCGAGTTTTTTTCTGTGGCTCGGGCCCCGACGCGACATGCGAGCGGGCAGGTTTGGTCCACAACCTGCCCGGTGCTCACTGTCGAGAAGCTGGCTTTGAATCGGCCTCGGCGCTCCTGGACCTGGCCAAATTCTACGGGAATGTGAACCATGAGCGCCTGCTCGCCGCGGCGAAACGCTTCGGGTTCTCTGTGCGCTTGATCGGGTGCTACTGCTCCATCTATGCTGGCTTCCGTGTGCTGCTCTATGGGGGTGCTGCGTCAACCGTCGTCGAATCGAACGGCCCGATCGTCGCGGGCTGCTCGGGGGCCGCAACCTTTGCCAATATGCTGCTGATGGGGCCCCTGTCGGAAGCTCGGGGGGACAGAAGTTCGTTGTATGTGCGTAGCGTGGTCGGCGACATTACAGTTCAGAGCTGTGGGCCCAGAATTCAGGTCGCAGCTCAGTTAGCAGGCGCCGCCGAGTCGCTTTTCAAGAGTTTCGAACAGCTGCAGCTGCCAGTGGGGTTTCAGAAGTGCGTCTACCTCTGCTCGAAGGAGGTCGATAAGCTCCTCTCCCAGGCTCGGCCCCTCCCTACTTCGTGCAGGACGGACGCGACGAGGAACCGAGGCACTAACGCGACTCTGGGAGGCCTGCGCAGGGTCGGGATCCAGAATGCCGGGGCTTCGGCCGCATCGTCTCGGGTCAGGAGGTTGAAGATGCTTCAAGGAGCTGGGGCGGACATCGGGATGGTCCTCAGGATGTGGCCTGCGGCGTCGGCCCTCTGGGGCCCCTCGGTGTCTGGAGTGTCTCCCTCGAAGATTGCTGGTCTCCGTATAGGTGCTGCTAGTTCCCTCGGCAGGCTCCCCAATGGTGCATCTGTCGGGCTCAGAATGTACACGTACGGGCTCGGCTCCAAGGTAGACCCCCTTGGCATCTACTTGGGGCATGTCATTTTCATGTGGGCCACCGCTGTCTGGGAGGCGGCCCCTCACTATCAGGTTCTTGCCAGCACGATGCGGGCCTCGAATGACACGTTTCAGAATTCGGCCCAGCCGTGGAGGTCAACGCCCTCTCCTAGCGACGTTGCTCTTCTCACTCTCCGGGGGCTGGGCTGGGACTTCGTCGACCAGCACAGTATCCGAGATGACTTGAATGTGGTGCACGATCTGTTCAGCCTGTCCCCGACGCAGGTCAGGGCCCTCGTCAGGCAGGGGGCGGTGAGAGCTTCGGATCGACGTGCGCTCCAGTTGCAGAATGGCCATGATGAGCCGCCCTGTCTACCCCATCGTCTGGGGCGGGATCTCCAGGATGTTCAGGGAGAAGTCGGGGGGGGGTCTGGGGCAAGCATCACCAGAGGTGCCTTCGAGGACTGGTCTCGGGAGTGCATTGGCCTCGAGCACGGCTGTTCGCGCGCAACCTGCATGGCGACGAGCTTTGTCAGTTGTGCAAAGGCGCGCCAGGCACCTTGTGGCACCGTCAGTACGAATGCCAAGCTCACGCCGTTCAGCGTCGGGATCTAGCGAGTGCTCGTCTGGGTGCTTGTGCGCAGAAAGTGAAGGAGCTAGGCCCGCTGGCGGCGGAGAGGCTCGCGAGGTGCATCTTCCCTCGCCCCAGGGCCCCCTTCGACGCCGAGGAGCCCACCCAGACGGTCCGCTGGCACCAGCGGCCCGAGACGGGCCTTCTCTCAGGGCTGCTCTCCCTGGACGGGTCTGCAAACATACACGGGCCTCGACGGGCTCACAAGAGCTGGGTAGAGCATAGTTTCGGTCGACAGGTTCGGACACGTGGCGTCGGCGGCGCACAGGCCTGCCCCACTGAGTATGGCCCCGCAGCAGACGAGCAAATACGGGGGAGAGTTTGCTGTACATATGCTGTCGCAGGTAGGTCTTCCCCCTCTTCAGTGCTACATCGGTTGCCAGAGCACGTTGGACTCGCTCGCTCGTGGCCCTGGTTTTTTTTCTGAGGGCCCTGGGGCCCCTCGGGCCCATCTTTGGGGCCCTGTGTGGTCCGCCTTTGCTCTCAGCGATCTCGAGTGCCACAAGACATTCGGCCATGCGACCGCCGCCGACATAGAGGCAAGCAGAAGCACCGTGTGGGAACGCCGGGCCAACGGACACGCTGACGAGTTTGCTAAGCTAGGGGCCGATTGTCATGGGGTCAGTGAGGACGACGCTAATGTGCACAGGGGACTGCGATGCCTCGCCCGCCAAGCGCGCAGGTGGGCGGGGGGCGTCAAAGTCACAATGTCGGGAGGGCCCCGCGACACTACAGGCCTGGTGCAGCGCTCGACAGGCAGCGATGGCCTTCTGCAGCAACCCTCGCTCGAGGAAGCAACGGAAGGCCAGGTCCTGGCTGACGATCAAAGGGAGGGTGGAGGTTCGTCGGACTTGGGGGAGGAGTGGAGGCTTTTCTCTCGGCAAGTTTTTAGGGTGACCGGTCACGCGTTCCTGGCCTGCCCTGTCTTCGAGCCTCCAGGGACCCCCAGGAGCAGGATCCAGTTCTGCTGCAGGCGTGGATTGTTTTTCTCGGGGGCTCCCAACGCTGGCGCCAGAGGGCCGTGCAGGCCTAAATCAACAACGGGCGGGATTTCTGACCAGCTGAGAAGGATTCGGCTGGGCCGGTTCCCGTCGTATAAGAAGGACTTGAAGAATTTGTCTTTGGGGGCCCACGAGGGCCTGAACCTCGCCGAACGCAGGGTCCTGGCTCAGACGCTGCACGAGGATGGTTTTCCCCCCCAGAGCGTCTCAGGTCCCATGGCGGGCTGCTTCGCAGGGGGCTTCGCCCCGCGAGAGCAGGTTTTGAGTTCTTTCGGCCTTGTCGAGTCGGATCTACCCTGGGTCAGGGACCTAGGGGCCGCCTCCCTCCGAGCCTCGCGCAACGGCGTCGAATCAGACTCGGAGGCTTCTGACTTCGGCTGAGAGTTGGTGACGTGCTGGCTTTAGGCCCGTCCCCAACCTCCTCCTCCTCCTCCTCCTCCTCCTCCTCCTCCTCCTTCTTCTTGTTTACCTCCTCCTCCTTTTTGTTCCATTAGACCGGCATTAGGAGCGAGCCTGTTGCGTTTCATTAATCCTCCTCCTTCTCCTCGTCCTCAATTTCCTCCCCCCTGACTGCGGACATATCCACCATGTTTCTCCGAGGCGGACATTTCCGCACTACTTGTTCGCATCGTTTGGGGTGCATTTCAGATTTGTACGGCGGAATTGGCGCCTCATGCTGTTAATGTTTCCCCCGTCATGCTGCTACTGCTCCTGTCCTTTGCCTTTGCAATACGTCGTGTAGAGGTGGTGGGGCGGATGCTGACGGTAATCGAGGGCACGAGTCATAATTTCTAAACGCTATGCCGTGTTGCTCGTGAGGGAGGAGGCATGAGGAGCTCTTGAGGAGCATAGCCCAGCCCCCCGAAACCATGGTTTGCTCATAACGTGGACCCCGAGAAGGTTCGACCCACTCCCAGGGATCGGTTTGCTATCCTGCATCGTTGTTCGACGGTCCTGGAGCCTGCCGGGGGCCCGCACATGCTTGAAAGGAGAAATGGTGTCCGTCGTGTTTTCCTCACGACGCGGAAGGTCTGGGAAAGGGGATTGTCAGGGGGGTCCAAAGAGGGGGTGAGGAGTAGAGGGATGTCATGGCCGGGGCCATCATATCTCCCTGGATGTCATGACCCCCTCTTCTTTTACAAATGCGTCCTCATGCCCCCCCTCACTCTAGTCAGCGCACGTGCCCCGGGCCCTCTCTGGGACAAACCCGGAAAAGGAGGAGGGATAAAGGGGAGGGGGAGGAGGAGAAGGCCGTGGACAGTGGTCAGGCGAGGCTCCCTCTGCCCAGGAGACGTCGGACATGAGGGCCGACACGGACGACCCAGTCCAGAGGGAAGGCAGACGCAGGCTCCTCGAGATCTACATCCTCGACATGCGGGACGCGTGCCCACTCCTCCTCCTCCTCCTCCTCCTCCTCCTCCTCCTCCTCCTCCTCCTCCTCCGCCTCCTCCTCCTCCTCCTCCTCCTCCTCCTCCTCCTCCCAAGGCCCCCTCGCATCGTGAAAAATATCTGAACGACACCATTGTTGCTGTTTTTGGCCTTTCGGGGCCCTCGCTGGGGCCCGGGACCACCAACAAACACGCAGGATGAAAAGCCAGTCTGGGGGAATGGGTCGAGGTCAAACAGTCTGGGACTGCGCAGGGCAGCTCCTGGAGGTCGCCGCCAGAGGTGGCCTGAGGGTGCCGAGGGAGGAGGAGGAGGAGGAGGAGGAGGAGGAGGAGGAGGAGGAGGAGGAGAAGGATGATGCTGATGATGATGATGATGAGGAGGAGGAGGAGGTGGTGGAGGTGGCAGGAGACAAGGACTGGCCTTGCGGAGTGAAGGCTCGTTCTCCGTTCGCATCGAAACCGCGTCCGAGGCTTCAGGATCATGTGCACCCCCGCGCCCATGTACCGATCTGTGTCCCACTGTCCCTCCTCCCCCCTGCCGACTGTTTCGTGTGTGCGCAGCCCTTCGGACGAACGCTTTCGGCTTGCAAATGCGTTAAAAGGAGGAGAGCAGGATGAGACAGGAGGGCGTGTCGAGCAGCGCCGAATTACGGAAATACGAGCCGCGGACGGTTTCCGAAGCACTCGCATCAGCCGTGCCACTTGCAGCCACCCCAGGCAGACGTCGAGCAAGAAAAGAAACAGGACGTGGGCGGGTGGGTTGCAATAGTGAAGGAATTCAGGGATCTACCCACTTGCTTTGCTGACGCCGTAGTGGATTTTGCTGACCCCCCGCGGCAGAGAGGACAAGACGTCCAGCAGCGGCAAGTACAGTGAATTCATGTCCGAGGCGGAACGTCACGAGTTCCACCAACATCTGAAGAAGGCAGAGGACTGGATGCACGACACCAAGGACGCTCGATCCTGGCAGGGCCAGTGCCAGCCAGGAAGTTGTTGGGTCGGGTGCGTTGCGAGCGTTTGGGGTCCTCCAGCTCGTGGCTCGAACAAGCACCTCAGTCTTAGATTTCAAACGTGCCTGAAGGATCCGAGGGTTCATGGTGAACGAGGTGGTCAATATGGGTGGCTGCTCGATGGCTCAGAATGTGACCGCCCCCCATGTCTAAGCTTCATGTCCAGGCATCCGCCGTCATGATTCTGTCAATCCCTAGCCCCAGAGATCGCGACCCCTTCCCTGGATGTGTTTTGTTTGCCCGGGATCCATGTTTCTTAGTCCTGCGGCCGCGCAACGGGCCACAGAGGCCGAACTCGACGAAAAACACAGGAGATTTGGACATGTGGCCATCGGACCTGAGGTCAGATGACTAGTCGCACGGTCGGCCGCTCGATTCGACTCGAGGCTCAAGTCTCACGCGGCCGCGTGGGCTTCGGGTTCGCTAGAGACGCCGTGCGGTCCACCGCCTGGGGTTTTGGACGCGCGCGCTCGCAGAAGACTCACACCGCGGAGGCTTCCCCGCCTGGTTGTGCCAGCCAGTCGAATCTTTCCCTCCCCACACCGACGGAGAAGGAGGAGCGTAAGGGAGAGCAGGAGGAGGAGGAGGAGGAGGAGGACGAGGAGGAGGAGGAGGCGGAGGAGGAGGAGGAGGACGAGGAGGACGAGGAGGACGAGGAGGACGAGGAGGAGGAGGAGGAGGAGGAGGAGGAGGAGGGGAGGGGGAGGAGGAGGAGGAGAGGAGGAGGAGGAGGAGGAGGAAGAGAGGAGGAGAAGGAGGAGGAGGAGGAAGAGGAAGAGGAAGATGAGGAGGAGGAGGAGAAGAGGAGGAGGAGAAGAGGAGGAGGAGAAGAGGAGGAGGAGGATGGGTGAGGGAAGCACACGGAGGAGCGAGGAGGAACAGCAGCATCAGTAGGAGAACGAAGAGCCTCCTCATATGGTTCCCCCTCGTCCATTTTCCGTCCTGCTCTTCCTCCTGCCTCTTCCCGATGATGAACGGTTCGCGCGATTGTAGAAGCCAGGGCTGACGCTGTTATGGAAGGCGCGCGCCGCATGCGAACAAAATGGAACAGTCGTGCGGTGTAGACGTTGCTTGTTCACTCCTGTAGCTTACCCGCATGGGCGTCACAGGGATCGACACTGCAGGATCAGAAGGGTACGTGCACTGCGAGGACTGTGGGAATCATACTAGTTTTACCATTTGACGGCTGTGGACGTCGGGTTCATGATGATATCTCACTTTGGATTTGCAACTACCGTTTCCCTCAGATGTTTGAAAGCGCACTGGCGGAACCAGAGGGCCGAGGGGGAAGGATGGGGGAAGGATCAGCAGCAGGCTCGGAGCAGCACTTGCCCGAAGGCGACTTCGAGCCATCTGCACAGGCCTTACCTTGCGATCTCCAGCCGCGCCCAGTCAGGACGAACGAGTGCCCCAGGAGACAACATGGCATGACAGGGGGGGATCTTTCCCCGAGCGGATGCAACGATTCCTCAGGACGCCACCAAGGCCATGTACGTTCAGAAGCTCGACGGGCTCATCGACTTGGGCGATCTTGTCGTGCGGCGTCACGAGGACGCGGGGGGCGTGATTGCGGTGCTTCCTTGGGCCTGGGACCTGCCGCTCCCCATCCCCCCCCTCGGGCAAGAGATGCCGGGCCCGTCTCCTCTCCGGCGCTGGAGCCTCCCAGCGGCGCCTCGGCGCGCTCCGCGCGCCAGACAGGGGGGCCCAACTGCCGATCCGAGACATCCGCGCGGACCTTCGAGTCTTTCTGTTCATGCGAGTGCTTGTTCCCCTGCGTGCACCCGTGTGGGTGTCTTCGTCGCGGCTATGGGCCGAGCAGCCGAAGGTGCTCCCCCCTCCTGCACGCCGACGCACGCCGGGTCCCGAGACCTGCGCCACCTGGCTGGCAGGCATTCGGGTTCGAGCAGGAGCGGCGGGCGGCGGGTGGACACGTGCCCCCAGCGTGGCCAGGCCCGTGCGAAGAGGTTCTGGTGCTGCACAGGGGACCGCCTCCTCCTCCTCCTCCTCCTCCTCCTCCTCCTCCTCCTCCTCCTCCTCCTCCTCCTCCTATTCGTCCTCCTCCTCCTCCTCCTCGTCCTCCTCCTATTCGTCCTCCTCCTCCTCGTCCTCGTCCTCCTCCCCCTCCTCCTCCTCCTCCTCCTCCTATTCGTCCTCCTCCTCCTCCTTCTCCACCTCCTCTGTGCAGCACCATAACTTCGTGCTTTCGGTGAGGTCGTAGGCAGAGATCGCCACGAACGCCAAGTCGATGGAAGCCAGACGGGCAGAGAGGCAAAAATACAGACAGGCAGACTGACAGACCCGCGGACAGACGGACAGACATACGGACGGACTTGCGCGTCGAGGGTCAAGCCGCCTGGGCTGAGCCAGCCGGAGCAGCCGGCCGACCCTGGGGATTGCGCAGGGGACGGTTCAAACAGCACCGCCAGGAGCCTCCTGCTCCTGCTCCCTGATCCTGCCTCCCTCCTTCTTCGTTCTCCCTTTCTTTATCGTTGTAAGTGCAAGATCTCTCTCTCTCTCTTGTCGCCCTACCCGTTGATTCAATATCTATTTCAGTTGTTACCCCATGTTTCGTTTGTGGATTGTTTGCTTTATGATTGCACTGCTTGTTCAGCTGTCTGTTGCGCTCAGCGGAGTTGCTTCCTTGTGTAGTTTGATGATCGTCGATGTTTCCCCTGGCGTGGATCGATGACCCTCCTCCTCCCCCCTCCCCCCATGTCCCGCTCCTGCTCCCTCTTCCTTCCTCTCTTGTCCCAGCGGCATACTATGATGAGGGGTCAACAGCGAGGACGAGGGAGACGGCGAGCGATGATGTGGAGAAGGGCGATGACAGGGCAATGGCCAACGATGACTTTTCATACTGTCAAGATCTAGTCTAGTTGGGTTCTCACTGGCACTGGGCCCTTGAACAAATAGCTTCTCGCCCGAGGGGTGACGCATGCAGCCACGAACCATTATGACTTCAACCCGTTCTCCTCTAGAAGGAGGTACACGAATACCCGGAGCACGAGGCGGAGAGGGACGACAGCGACGACACGGACGAGGACGAGGACAAGGCGGAGGGCGCATGGAGCCATCACCCCCGAAGGAGCGCGAGAAGAAAACGCCGCCGAAGCTGGCTCCGAACCCCCTGGAGCCGCCCACAACGGTCAAGAAGGAGGTTGCGGAGGATTCGTTTCCGCAGAGGAGATGCAGGAGGAGCAGGAGCAGGAGCAGGAGCAGGAACAGGGGGGGGAGGGACAGGGAGATCTCTTTGGGGGTGCAGGAGGGGTGCTTGAAGGTTCTAACGGGCGCTAGGGCTTCCAGGAGGCTTGTGAGGATGCGAATGACGGCCTCAGTCTGAGGGGAGAGGCTTGCTCCCTCCTCGGACGATGAGGGGAAGCACGGCTCTACCGGCACGGATAGTGTGGACTGCCTGCGTTCATCTCAAGGCATGCGGCAGGCGGAAAGTCCAGATCGAGAGCGTGAAGCACACGTGGGCACACCGTCGCACGATGCGTGAGGCAAGCAGCATGGAAGTGGAAGAAGAAAAGGATGGGGGATGATGGGGGAACGGGGGAGGTTCCAGGTCCTAGCTTTTTCGGAGGGAGGGGGGGGTCCTGGGTGTTCTGGGCGGGGGGAGGTCAACAGCGTCCCGGGGAGGAGGAAAACGAGGGAGCGGAGGGGGGTGAAGGAGGAAAGACTTGCCTAACCAACATCGTGGCATCTCTTCTCAGATCAGTCTTGGTTCCTTCGGTATCGCGAGATCGTTTGACCAGCGCACAGCGCAGCGAGTTGTTCACAGGGCCGCAAATGTATCAGGTGATCGTCGCCCTCAACTGTCGTTCCGTCCCGCTGGATTGACTTCTTTGCACGCCGTAACCGCCTTCGTCAGATGTACAGTCGCAGTTGTCGCAGCATGCACAAGAAACACACGGCACACGTATGTTTAAGCATGGCGTGTCATGACCACGATTGTTGTCTGACGGCTTTTGGCCATTCCCTCCGCCGCGCCTGGGTCGTGGACGAGAGACTTCTTGGGGCCTCGAGAGTCATCCTGGGCGAAGGGCTCCACTTGTCAGTTCCATGTCCCTGCCTTGGGGGGCCCTCTTGATGCCCTCTTGGGGGCATCGCGGGCCTCTCTCGGGGGGTCCGGGGGTCGTGTTGGAGCGATCTCGGGTTAGAGCCACACGAGAACCGACAGTTTGGGAAGAGGGAGGATTGCGGCCTCTGGGGCGGGGCCGCAGGGCCCCCACCAGACACAGGGCGGGGTTTGGCTTTCGATGTGTTTTTACCGCACATGGGTTTCGCAAGAATCAGCGTAGTGATCGCCATAGTCGCGCATGCCAGCGATGATGAGGAGGATGACGGTGGGGATGACGGCGGTGCAGATGTCGTTGGGCATGGTGTTTTATTGGTCAGAGCAGTCGCCTTTGCACGGCGAGGGCCGCGCGGGGACCTCGGGCAACCGCGAGAAGTCTGGCAGGAATTCTGGCAGATGCGGATCCGCTCGTCCAGAAATTGACAATCTTAAAGCCGCTTTGGGGGGCACGGCAGCCAGAGGCAGCGGAAACGTTGAGGAAACCGCTGGAAATTGCGCAAGACACCGCCATGTTTTCAGAAGTTGTACGCGCTGTATACATGGTAGAGAGGCCCCCAGGTTGAATTGACCAAACATGATAAGTTCTGAAGCGGGGGGAGGGGCCGCCGCCGCCCGAAAGCCTCCGATTCCGCCAGCCTTACCCGCAGGTGTTCCTAGCCCGCCCGGCTCGCCCGCGTCATCCCGCCATCGTCGTCGATTGTTGTCTACCGCTGGCTGCCGACATCCGCCATGTCCACCGCCATCAAACTTCATCGCCACCAGCATCCTCGTCGGCCCATAATCGCCAGCTTCGCCAGCGCCACCCTCATTGCCGTCGCTACCATCTCCCGTCTTCTTCCAGCTTCTCGTCGCCATTGTCGCCATCGCCGTCGTCATCGATGTGGTTTCCGCCGTCGACGAGTCTGCTCGAACCACGAAGTTGTTGTCCTGGGAAACAAGAACCAGGGTCGCCCACTTTCCCATGTTTTCCGTATTTGTCGGGGGGGGGAAGCGAAAGTCGAAAACTGAAATTTTCGCTTGTCTGACGAGGACCCCAGGACGGCCCACGGGGCCATCTTGGGAAACGAGGGAAGTGAGGGAACAACCACGCCACCCAGGCCTAGCGCTTGCGAGTCGGACGTCCCTAGCCATCAAAAAGCAAGATTCTAGACGCTTCGCGTAAGTAACCCCACATTTGTGAGGTTGCCACTGTTGGCATGCGGCACAGGTACGCTGGGCTGCTTGCTCAGCCCCACGATATGCCGTGCTTTGCTCGGGTGGCTCGTTTACCTCTGGCGCCTGGCGCGACAAGGTACGATTCGTTGCCTTCCCGGTGGTCTCGCCCCTGGATCGGTTGCACTTCAGCCGCCTGGCACACCTGGCACCTTTTGCAGCTCTGCCTTCAGTCCCCGGCGTCGCTCCTTGGCGGCCGTTAGTTTGCGCGCTTAGGTAATTAGGTTCGGCTCGTAGCTTGGGCTGACTTCGGACGCCGCCTGCGCTCCCGCTTGCGGCCGCGACGGAAAAGTAAGTAACCCCACCAGCCCATCCCAGAAACAATGCCCGGGGGAGTTGTCCCAAGGAGGGATGTGGGCGAGCATGCAGTGGAATAAAGGGCTGGGGAAGCCGCTGTACCTCAAGAGGGGGAAGGATGCAGGAGGAATCGGAGGAGAGGAGGATGAGGAGGAGGATGGCGAGCAGAAAGGCCAGATGCCTCGTGGTTGCTTCTCGGATGTATCTTGAGAGTTTCTTGGAGTACTCTTGGGGCGGGTTGGGGGGCTCTTGGCGGTCCCAAAAGTCTCCTGGGGCGTCTTGGGTGCCTCGGGGAAGCCTCTTGGGGCCTATTCGGGGTCTCTTGGGAGCCTGTTAGAGGCCTCCTAGGGCATCATGGGGCCTCCTGGGCACTCTTGGAGACCATTTTGGGGGCCATCTTGGGGCCATCTTGGAGGGGTTCGATCAAAGAATGGGGGGGAGTCTAAGTAGGGTCCGCCCCAGGAGGCCAACATGGGCCCAACACATCATTAACATCCATGACTGTGGCCTTCTCGACTGTGACATCACATCTTGCCGCCCCCCCCCGTCTACGTCCAGGGGGAGGGGGTTCGGAGAGGGGGACCCCCCTCCGAAGAGGAGGGAAACTGGAAGAGGAAACGCTCGAATAAAACCACTCATGCCCTGAAGGGCTGGTGGGACTCAGCATTGAGAGTTCTAGTAAACATGGGAACGTTCCCCCCAATGCTTACGTCACGGTGATGGGTACCGACGATCATGAGAAGGATGTTGAGGATAATTGAGGCGTTGGTCAAGATCAAAAGCGTTATGCCCCCTGCGCTGTGGTGTTGGCTGCGCGAAAAAGGACCTCGAAACCGATGTGGAGCACCAATAATGATTTTGGTGATGAGGGATGGGGGTGAGGACGGGTGCGGGGAGACGAGGACAATGGGAAAAAGGGTAATGATCGGACACTGGCGAACAATGGCGACACGTCTACAGCTGAGTCTGTCGTTGGGGCCTGGGGACAGAGTCCCTCCCTCCCTTCCCTCCCGAGGATCGCGACAAGAACAGGGCGCCGAATCTGAAGCCAGAGGCCCCAGTTGCACCGCAGGAGGTCAAGAAGGAGGCGGAGGAGCCGCCTCACGTGAGGGGGAGCGGGAGCAGGGAGAAGGACGGACATGGAGGCTTCTAGCTGGCGTTCAAAGATTGTACTGGATGCTAGGCCTAGGGCGAGGCAAGGGACGGCTTTGGAGGACGCGCTCGCCGCCTTCCCTGGAGGAGGGGAAGGGCCCGCATCCTCCTCGGAAGATGAGGGGGAACACGGTTGTCAACGATTCGGTCGTTTGGACGATGCGTGCCGGCGCTTTGCGCATTGCACCGACCGCTTCGGTTACGCAGCGGCATTGGGGTTTCCCCTCCACGGATTATGGATTGCTCCCGTTCCTCTCATGGCAGGCGCGAGGCAGAGAATCGAAATAGAGAGCGCGAATTTGGCGCACCGTCACACGACGCACGAGGCGAGGAGTATGAAAGTGCAGGAGGTGGAAGGGGATGGGGGGAGAGGGGGATATTTTAAGTTGTTTCGTCTTCCTCAGGGTGCAACCCTCCCAGCTGCATTGGATTCCGAACAGTCGTTGCGGCGCGCACATGCAACGCACGGCACACGTGTGTTTGAGTTTGTATCATGACGGTGGTTGGTATCGAAGACACCTCCGGCTGGTCACCGCCGCCCCCTGTCTTCTGGAAATGTTTGTATGGTGGAATGTTGAGCGTCAACGCGGCAATGCTAGTTGTCGGGGTGTCCCCCGAGATAGCAGGGAACCATTGGGGCAACACGTGGGAAGGGTTCCCTCAGGGTCTGTTGAGAGCTGCCTGGGGCCTGTTGGGGGCCTTTGGGAAAGCCTCTCAGGGCCCTCTCGGAGCCTCTCGGGGGGCCTCCTGGGGATCTCTCGGGCTATACTGGGGCTTTCTAGGACTGCCTCAGGACGCTCTTGGCATGCCTGGCGCCTTCCTGATGCGGCTGGATTCCGCGCGGTTGCTGGCCAAAATTCGCCACGGATTGATCTGGAGCGGCGAGACATCACAGCAACGCTAGCATCCGCAAGACTGCCACCAGAGCCGCCTCCCGAGTCCAGGCTCACCACGCAGCATGCTCGCCAGCCTGCCGCGAGAGGGGCCGCTCGGACGCCGTCGTAGCCGCTGCCGCTGGAGTCGCCTGTCAGCAGAGCGGCGTTCGTGCGCGGCCCGCGCTTTGTGGTTGTAGTCCGCTCCAGGCCAGCTTCCGAGGAGAGGGCACTCGGGCTCAAGCGAGGGCAGCCCTGCACTCCGTGAGTTACATGTCTCATGGGCCCCATCGCTCCTCTCCTCCGTTCTCCCTCCCTCTTCCCCCGTCATCGTCCATCCCCCTTCATCCCTCGCGCCGCATTCCTCTCCTGCTCGACCCTTTCTTTCATCCTTCCTCCCCCGGGACGACATGGTGGACTCCCTGCAGAGGCCATCCGAGAGGAGCGGGGCCTCCCCTCCGATGCGGCGCTTCAGGCGGACCTGGACCTCGAGGCGTCCGCCCTCCTGGCCATGGACCGACTGGCGCCGGCGCGGCTGGCTGCCATCCTGCACGCAGACGACCCCGTCCTGCTGGGCTCCTCGCGCGGCTCGGCGCAGGCGGCGGTGGAAGTGATGGCCCGGTGGGCCTTTGCAGAGAAGGCCAGCCCCCACACGAAGGCCTCCAAACATGCAGTGCTTGTGTCGGGTGCACCCGGGGCCTGGCAGGCCGCCCAGGCAGCGCGGCCGCTTGAGCTCCGCCTCCGGGGGGCAGAGCCTGTGCAGCTGGGGGTGGTCCAGGTGCACAAGTGGCTGGGCCTTCAGTGGCGGGGCGATTTGGATTTGCGGGCTATGTGCCGTGCGCGCCTGGCAGCCGCGGCAGCCCAGGTCGCCTCCCTTGCTGGTCAAGTGGCCAGTGGCGACGTCCCCCTGGCAGTGGCGGGGAGCATCTTCGACATGAAGATCGAAGGGGGCCTCCGCTTCGGGCGCTGGCTGTGGGCCGTTGCGGAAGGCAGCGCGGAGGCCGCGGACGACGCGTATCGCGGCTGGGCGCGGGCTCTCCTGGGGGCCCCCCCTTGGCGGGCCTCTACGGTGGCGGAGGCGGAGCTGGGCTGGGTCCTATCGGGCGCGGGCCGGGGCGTGATCGATGTGGCGCGCCGCCGTGCAGGGCTTTGGGCCCTCCCGGAGGACGACTTATACCGGAAGGTCTTCCTGGCGGCCCACGCTACCCGGGAACTGTCCTGGGCAAGTCAGTCCGAGAGGCTGATTGCGGCTTGGGGTGTGCAGGATTGGCCGGTCTGGTCCCAGGCTCACCCGGGGGAGCAGCGCGAGGCGTACGTCGCGGCTGTGCAGCAGCAGGTTGCTCGCAAGTGCAGGGGGGAGTGGCAGCTCAGGGCGAGGGACCATGACCGTCCTGTCCCTTTGCTCTCCCTGTGCGAGGGCCCGGTGCGGGATCTGGCGATAGCTCTCCAGGGCGCGTGCAGCTGGGACGTTCTGCAGGGCATGCGGTCCCTCAGCCGCTGGAGGGCTGGCCTCTTCATCCTGGGGCACGTGGGCGGGCGCAGGTCGTGGGCTGCCGTGCAGAGCTGCGTGCTGTGTGGCGCGCGGCATCGCAGTTTGTCGTTCCATGTGTGCAGCGGCTGCCCGGGTACCGCAGAAGGCCGGGCTGCCTTCTGGACGGCGCGGGCGCAGCCCCAGCCGGTCTCGCAGGAGGCTTGTGCGCGCGCGCTGCTGTCTGCCAGGCCGGGGGAGGCTGGCTACGCGGAGGCGGTCGCGTTCGCGGCGGGTGTGGACAAGCAGCAGCGGCGGTTCTGGGTAGGGCGAGATTGAGCGCATGCGGTCGCCGCCCCCGAAGGAGGAGTCGGAGCATGGCCCCCAGCTGCCGGAGAAGTGCCCGATACCTGGGCGGGAGTGAGTCCGCATCTGCGGTGTGCGGACACACTCCCGCCTGGGCGTTCCGGGACTTCTCCGGGGATCGGGGGTGGCCTCCGCCTGTGCTCCCTCCCCTCCTCCTCCCCCTCCCCCCTCTGGGGCTCCTGGGGCTCTGGATTTTGTCTCGGTGGCCTCGCCTCGTTTCCTGGCGAGGGCCCCCCTGGGGGCCTGTGGCTTTCGGGGTGTGCTCCCCTGGGGTTCCTGGGGCTTTCTGTTTTGTTGCGGTGGCCTCGCCCGTTCCCTGGCTTGGGGCCCCCCTGGGGGCCGGTGGAGTTCGGGGTGGGCGAGGGGGCTCTTTCTCCCCCCCTGTCTCTCCCCGCAGGCCGGGCCGCGTCCCGATGCCGAGCCGGGGTGGTGGCGGGGGGTACCCACTCGGGGAGGGCCTCTTCCAGTCATCTCTCATCGCCTCGCAGCTGCGCCCTGCGGTGGCATCCGGGATGTGCTAGGACGGGCGAGGCCCCAGCGGAGGTGAGCGGGAGCTCTCGCGCTGTCCATCCCCACTCAGCGGCACAGGTTCCGCCCGGCACGGGTGGCCACCAGGGCTGCCCTGGATGGATCCCCCTGTCCCCTTCGTCCTGGGTCGGGACCCCAGCAGTAGCGCCCTCCTATTCTTGGATATCCCGCTCCCAGGTATTTGGGGGCTGGTATTGCTGGGCCTTCCTGTGGTTGAGGTGGGGCGGGGAGGGTGCCCCAGGGGAGGTACCCCAGGGAGTCTCTCGGACCAAGTGGCGCCGTGGCGTTGCGGTACTAGACCCCCGCGACAGGTGGTGAGCTGCCCCCCCAGCCATCCCTGAGTGGGAGGTGCCGCTAAAGAGGCAGTGCCCGCGGCCTCACCAGACTGCTTACCCAAGCCACCACCACCACCACCCTCTCCCCCTCCCCCATGTATCATCACTTCTCTCTCCGCCCTCGCCACTCCGCCTGCGTCCCGCCGTCCACCCTCTCTCTCTCTCTCTCTCTTCTCTCTCTCTTTCTCTCTCTCTCTATCTCTCTCTCTCTCTCTCTCTGTCTCCCCTATCTCTTCCTGTGCAGTCTTGCATCCTCCGCTTTCTCGTTTTCCGCCCGGTCCTCGTGCTCCTCCTCCTCATCCTCCTCCTCCTCCCCCTCCTCCTCTACCTGCGCCACCTGCCCTTGCTCCTGTTCATCTCTACATTGCGTTTTCAGCTCGTTCTTCTCCTGCTTGGGCGCGGAAGTGCTGGCGTGGAAGGACGGCCAGTGGATGGAAGTTACGAAGGAGGCGCCCGACCCTGGCAGCGATGACGAACCACCCATCACGAAGCTGAGAATGCCCATGTGGCTCTACAAGGCGAAGGAGGAAGAGGTGAAGAAGCTTGATCGGGACAGCGCCTGGCTGAGCCCTGAGGAGAGGAGCGACAAAGGGGATGGGGAGGGCCACGGGCGTGTTCGCAGAGAGTGCCACGAGCGAGGTAAGAAGAGGAGGAGGAGGAGGAGGAGAAGGAGGAGGAGCAGGAGCAAGAGCAGGAGGAGGAGCAGGAGGAGGAGGAGGAGGAGGAGAACCACTCTTGGTCCCCAGTTTCGGGCCGTCCTTCCCGACCGCCAATGGCGGCCCCGAAGTCCAAGCAGCGGCCTGGGCTGGGCCTTCGGGACTGATCCTCCGCCGGCCGCGCCCTCCGTGTGGCTTCAAGGCTTGCTGAACTTAATTGTTGCATGCGCTCTCCCACTTGCTGTCGTGCGTAATGGCGCTCTCCGTCTTGCGCCTGCCATATGACTGTCCCTCTGCTGCGCTTGCTCACTGAGGATGCTCATTTCCCGTCTCTCCGTTCCCTCCCCAGCCTCGGTGGAGGGTGCGTCGGATGGACAGGCAATCGCCACTGCTGCTGCAGGAGGAGCTGGTCGCTCTTGGGACGCTGTTGGGAGATGCCGGAGCTACCTTCATGCCCCAGGCGCCCATAGGAAGGGAGTTGGCGCCCTAGGCTTCGGAAGAATATTGTGCCTCAGGGGCATCCTTGAACTTGGGAGTCTTCGAGGCCAATTGGAGCCGTCTTGGGGCGATATTAGAAGCATGTTGGAGGCAAGGTTGAGCCATCTTGGATCAGATTGCGCAATTTGTAATCAATGATTATGCCTCTCTCTCTCTCTCTTTTCTCCCCCTGTCTGTCTTTATGTATTTCTTCATTTCTTTGTTTTTGTTGTCTTTTTCCTCTCTGTCTCTCTCTCTCTACATATATATATATATGTATACAGTTGTGTATGTGTACATATATATACATCTCTCTCTCTCTCTTTCTTCAAGGGGGGGCTCACTCGCTAAACCACTTGCGCCCAGAGGGCTGGTGGGATGTATCAGGTGCGCCTGATCCTCTTTGCTTCTGGTTCCGACTCTTATTGCAATGCTCTTTTCCCTCGCCGTCTGCTGCTTCTCCTCTGCCTTCCTTTTCGTCATTATACTCGTCATCGTCGTCGTTGGTGGTTCGAGTCACTGGCATGATGTTCATTGTTTTGCGCACGGCGCAGTTGAATTGTGCGCGTCGCCGTCGTCGTCTCTCCAGACGTCGTTTGGTCTCCCTGCGCAGCTCCTGGCCCCTACCTGGCCCTAATGGCGTTCAGGGATCAAGTTCTGATTCGACACGCGACTCGGCGGGTAGAGAAAAGTGTTGAGCAAAATGTGAAGGGATGGGCACGTCAACTCGAAGCACAGTCATCGTCGGAGCAGGCCCCCTGAAGTGGTGATTTTTCCCCAATGTCGACCCCTGGAGGTCTCGACCACGTCTCTAGGACGGAGTTTTCATCTCGCTTTGTTTTTTGACTGTCCTGGGGCTCCGTGAGGGCTCCCGTAGTCCGAGTGAAAATGGCCAAAAACCGCCCGTCCTGATGTTTTTCACGACGCGAGGGGGTCTGGAGAGGACGGAGGGAGGGAGGGAGGAGGGAGGAGGAGGGAGGGGGAAGCAGGGGAAGCAGGAGGAGGAGGAGGAGGAGGAGGAGGAGGAGGAGGCCCCAGCTCGCGTGCTCTTGAGTCGGGCCGAGACCACTCCGCTCGCGGACTTCCTGGCGCCCTGCGGCAGGAACAGGCGGGCCTGCAGCCCGTGAAGCAGGCGCCTGCCGACGAAGATGGCGTCGCCGTCACCTCCGCGACGGTGGCCAAGAGGAGGAGGATCACAGTGAAGCAGGAGCCCGCGGACGAGGACCGTGCAGAGGGACAAGATCGCGTCGGGAGGTTGCTGGCCGTTTACGGCCTCCAGGGGCCCTCCGCGCCTGGACCCGGGACCGTCAACAGAACGACCCGAGGCGAGAAACGGGTCCCGGGGAGGTTCTGGGGGGCCCACGTCGTGAAAGAACCACGCCGTCGGAGTTCTGGATCGTGGTTCGAGGTTTTCCGCTCGCGGAGCCCGCGGACGGGGGCCGTGGCAGAGCGATTGGCGGTCGGATGCAGCGCAGCGTGGGCACGACGGTGCTTCCCCGTTCCCCGCACGCATGCTGCCTGGCGTCCTCTTTTCGCTCTGGTTCTGGCGGGGACAGTCGTCGCGCGAGTCGCGACTCTGCTTATGGCGCGCGGCCCCCTTCTGCCGCACGCAGCTTGGACAGAGGGGTCACTTGGCTTGACCCCTGGAGATCCGCCGAGGGGGGGCGCGACGCGCGACGACCCGCCTGGACGCAGCCCTGCCAGCATGAGCTGGCCGTCAGACGAGTCTGGCGGTGATGCGGAGGGGGGAGCGGGGGGAGAAGGGGAGTGGCGGGGGGGGAGCGGGGGGAAACGGGGGAGGAGGAGGAGCACGACGAGGATACGGAATAAGGATGGAGGAGCGGGGGAGGGATGGGGGAAGAGGCAGGGAGACAGGAGAACTGTGTCTGTAAGTACAAACACTGCGCCGCATGCATAAAACATTAAACATGGCAGATTGACAAAATGAGCATGGCGAAGGGCCCAAACATAGGCCGTTGCGAGTACCGCGTTGTGGGTGCCGCTTTCGGTGGGGCTCCCTATGGGGCCGCGATCCTCAAGAGAGGTGTGCCGAAATGGGCGGGGGGAGCGCATGCGGACCATGCCACTGAGGCCTTCGGTGGAACTCACAATGGGGCCACGGTCCTCGTGAGGAGTGTGCCGAAATGGGCGGGGGGGAACGCATGCGGACCCTGCCACTTGGGTCTTCGGTGGGGCTCCCTATAGGGTCGCGATCCTCGTGAGAGGTGTGCCGAAATGGGCGGGGGGGCGCATGCGGACTCTGCCATTGGGGCCTTCGGTGGAGCTCCCTATGGGGCCACGATCATCGTGAGAGGTGTGCCGAAATTGGCGGTGGAACGCATGCGGACCCTGCCACTTGGGCATTCGGTGGAGCTCCCTATAGGGCGGGCCACGATCCTCGTGAGGGGTGTGGCGAAATGGGCGGGGGGGCGCATGCGGACCCTGCCACTGGAGCCTTCTGTAGAGCTCCCTATGTGGCCACGATCCTCGTGAGGGGTGTGCCGAAATTTGCGGGGGGGGCGCATGCGGACCCTGTCACTGGGGCTTTCGGTGGAGCTCCTTATGGGCAACGATCCTCGTGAGAGTTGTGCCGAAATTGGTGGGGGGCCGCATGCGGTCCCTGGCGCTGGTGCCTTCGGTGCAGCTCCCCATGGGGCCACGGAACGTGGGAGGGATGTGCCGACATGGTGGACGTGCGGAGAGCAGAGGCAGATATGGGAGGAGGAAGGAGGGGGAGGAGGAAGGAGGGAGTGGACGGGGGGCGCCGTCTCTTCAAAACGAGGACCCAACACCATAGGATGGTTGGGAAATACTCCGTTTTCTTTGGGGTGTAAGCGTGGAGGGGGGGGGGAGGAGGAGGGACCAGCAGGAGAGAGCCAGCTTCGGCCCCACATGCGCCCAGCCAGACGCTTCCAGGCCCGGCCGACCTGTCCTTAGTATTTGTTCCATTTGTTTTGTAACATTTGCCCCCTTGCTGTTCCAGCTTCTGGCCGATTCGGTCTGACGCGTCCAGTCCCATGTCCTCTCGAGCCTGTCGCGGCTCGATCCCCGTTGTATCCGTGCCTGTCGTGACTCGGCCTGGCCTCTCTAGGCCACATCCGTGCTAGGTTTTCGCTCCCTTTGCCCGCTCTGGCGGTCTCAGAGGAGGGCGACTTGAGACCGACTGGAGGTTCGAGGTCGTCGCACGTTTTCGTCGGTTCTCGACGGTTTTCGAGCCTCGGGGTGCCTTCCAGCGGCTGCGCCTCGCCGGGAGCGTTCCGGGGTTGCCCGAATCGTCCCGAGCCGAGATGAGAACCGAAAACCGACGGCGGCGACGACGGCGATCAGAGGAGGGCGAGTTGAGACACCGGTATCTGGTCGCCACGGTTGCACCATGCAGCTCGGAGCATTTGTGCGTTTGGACCCCGGGAGGGGCCCGACCGATTTTGAATTGTTGTTGTCTCAGTTCGCCCTGCTTCGACCCTCTGGGCCCTCCGACCCCTGGCCGAGGTCGGCTATGTTTCACGTTGGGTTTTCGTCGCCTTCGTCCTCGATGTTGTTCTCGCTCGCCCCGTCAGCATGGGCGACGTCGTCGTCTGCTTTTGTTATCGTTGTCATCGTCCCCTTCCTCCCTCTCCTCGTACTCCTCCTCCTCCACCTCCACCTCCACCTCCTCCCTCTTCTCATCCACCTCCTACTCTTCCTCTCCCACTTGTTGCTCCTCCACCCTTCCTTCTCTTTCCCTACCTCATACGCTCATACGCTCCTTTCCTCCGTCGCCGCATCCTCCTCCACTTCCTCCCCTTCCCTCCTCCCCCCTCGCCCGCGCCCGGGTGGGAGCGCACTGGCGCCGTCTCTTATTTGGATCGAGGCCCTGCGTTGTCTTGCCCGCTCCCGAAACAGCCCCCCTTGGGACCCGCACGCACGCCCGACAGGGTCCGAGCGCCCCCGCCTGCCCGCCAGGCTGTGCCTGCCAACCCTGCCTCACCATCGGCCTTACAGTAGTGCCTTCCAACCAGTCCGTAACGCCACGGCATCAAACGCATGCCAAGAAGCAAGACACAGCATGGCTTCGGGTTGCGCACAGACCGGCCCCCCAGGTAATCACGGCGGGCCTCGAGCGGCACCTTGGCGGCGCCCGTGGGGCGCTCTGCGCCCCAGGGGTGAGGCGTTGAAACTCCCCCATGCCCCCCCCCCCTACTTCGTCCTCGTCATCCTCCCCGTCTTCCTCTCTTCTCCCTGTCTCCTCCATCCCCCTCCTTCCCACTCATCCCTCCGTCTCCGCACATTCCTCCTCACTCCCAAATTGGGGTGGTGCGTGAAGAGGGCGTGGGCCCAGATGCTTGGCCCCGGACCCCAGGACGAGCGCGGAGGCAAGACCGTGTCCCAGGAGGTGGCTTCCAGCGAGTCTTACAAAGAGCGCGAGATGTTGGCGCAGCAAGCGCGAGTCTTACTCAGCGACGTCAAGCCAGACGCCACTGCCGCCAAGAAGGAGGAGGCTAAAGAAGAAGCAAAGGTCGAAGTAGAGAATGAGGTGAAGGCGGAATGGAAGACAGAAGTGAAGATGGGGGTAATTGGGACGCCCGAAATGGGAATGGCGCGAACGGGGACGATGTCTGACAGCACTGCCAGGCCATTTGGATCGTGTCGAATCCAGCGTCGGTTTCATAGCGGACCGTGCTAATCTAGCGTCACAGGTCGTCTATCCAACAGCAGCCGTTGTGAACGTCCGCTGCGAATCCGCGAGAACGCGCTGTTGGACATACTCCCCACTGGCGCTGCCCCCACCTCGGGACTGGCAAGGTGAAGGCTGAAGAAACGCCGGGAACCAAGAGCGAGGTCAAGGTGCAGATGAAACAAGAAGTTCCGAGCGAGGTGGCCGGGCGCCGGAACTCTGGGTCGCATGGGCAGTTCCAGAGAGGGCCTCGCCCACGAGGGATCGAGAAGCTGACACCTCTTCCTCGGCCGATGGCGGCGGAAGTAGACTGGGGCGGCTCCGCCGGCGGACGTCAAAGATGAGCCCCCCAAGGGATGGGCAACGCTTTCTGGCTCAGGGATCCCGGCACCCGCTCTGTGGGTGGGGGTCAGGGGCAACGTGAGGGGGGGGGGCAGGCTCCGGGAGGGGACGCCTCGACCCCCAATGGCCCATTCATCGCCGATACCTAGGCGTCTGATAGCCCACCCAGCACAGGAACGTGCGGATTCGCTATCGGGGGCCTGTCGCTGATGTTTCGTCGATGTAGCGCCGCTTCCAGGTCAATGCTTCCACCCCTGAGCCGCTTTGACTCTCTGGGGGCGATGGTCGGCATCTCTTCTAACCCGTCTTCGGCATGAAGCATTGTCGCCTTCCACGGCGAAGCTTGCCGGTCTTGATGTTGCGCGCCGCCTGCCTAGCGAATGTCGCAGTCAACCACCTCAACGATTTTTGCACAGATGGAGCACCGAGCGTCGGGACATCCCCCCTGAAGCTCCGGGCAGGGAGCGTGGCGAGCGTCAGGAGCGTCAGGAGAGTTACGGTCATCAGTAGAGGAACAACAGCGGCATAAACATAGGATTTCGGAGGCCCGCGCGGACTTCTTGGATCGGCGCTGGAGCCCCCTGGTGGTTTTTCGAGTCCGAAGGGTCTGGAGCGCCAGAGTCGTCAGAAGCGATCGGAGAGTCAGGGGCGCCGCATTGGCGCAGGTTTTAGGCTGCGCTCTTCCTGGCGATGCCGAGAGGGGCGTTTTGGGGCCGAGGGCGCGGTGAGTTTCGGGCTCCAATCCGCGCTTCGACTTGGAGGAGTCGACAGCTTTCAACACACTTGGATCCAGGGTTTCTGGAGTCGGGAGCGATCTAGAGAGCATTTCTTTATGTTCGGCGATGACGGGCGTCATAGGGGGGGGGACGGGAGGGTATGACGTAACGTGCCCTGTGACCCCCCCCCAGCGCGCGTGGGTCGTGGATCAAGGGCCTCTTGGAGCCATTTTGGGGTCTCTCGCGGGGCCTCGACATCTTGGTGGCCTCTTGGGGGCCTGCTGGGGGCCTGTTGGGGTCTCGGGGCAGTGTTGAACCAGCTGTCTGTTACCGTGGCGCTTTTTAGTGCCCATTTTGGGACCATCTTGAAGGCTTCTTGGCCCTCTCTTGGGGGGCTCGGGGCCATCTTGGAGCGATCTCGGAAGCCCAATGGTCATCGTGGACCCTCGTACCGAAGAGGCGGGAGCGGTGAATTACATCAGACATGGGCAACGTGTTTTTGGATGAGGTTGCTTCCCAGGCGACCCAAGACTTTTGCAAAACGGGGTCGCTCGGGCCCCTGAAAAGTGTGGGCGCACGTTCGGTTCTTGGACATGCAAGCACGGTTCCGAGACATCAGAAACGTGACGCGAAAAGCCCCAGAAGCAGTTGAGAGCGCCGGTGAATTGTGAGCTCGGGGCTTTGTAGGATCAATACAAGCCCGTTAGCTTGATTCGTTGTGGTAGGCGTTGCAACAGACTTGGGGATACTGGGTTACTCTACTCGGTGTCCGTTGCACGTTGGCATGGTGGTTTAACTTGTTATGTCGTGGGAGTACTCATCACCCCTACGTCCTTGCGCATCGGGCGTCGTATCCCGATTGTTTCAGAATTGCAGGGAAATGTGGGCACATTGCATACAGATTGTAACAACAAAGCTGGGAATCAAACGTGCATGCGCGATGTCATGAGGAACCCGTGTTTCGCAGCCTCGTGGCCCTGGTGAGGGGGCAGCGACGTATGATAAACATTTCTTCCGAAGAGACTTTCCGCAGCTCTTGCATGACAGGGTATAGTTACGTAGCGCTCTGTTGTATCGAGGGTGCTCGCGGCCCACCGCCCACAGAACATCACCGCCCACAGTATCCACCCACCCTCCACACCACAACCCACCATCCACCTACCATCCACCCACCACCCACCACTGCCTACGCATCACCCACCCATCACCCGCCGAACACGGCATGGACGGCGCTGAGATGCCCGAAAGGGCGTCGATAGCACCCAAGAGGACCGCACGAGAGAGTTCCACGAGGCCCCTGGTGGGTGGCACGGGCTTCAGGTTGCCCGAGGCCTTTATGGACAGCTGGTAATGGATCCCCGTGGTCGCCCTCGTCCGCGACATGTTCCTTCCCCTCCTCGAGCTCCCGCCCTTGCTGCTAGCAATGCCGCTGCTGCTGTTGCTCCGCCTCCTCCTCCTCCTCCGCCTTACTTCTGTGCCCCGATTCGCCTTATCCCGCCGTGATCTGCACCTGCTCAGGCGTACGGGCCCCTCGACGGCCGCTGGATCACTGCGGGCAAGCAGGAGTTCACGATCGAGGGCGAGAGGATAACATGGGACGACGGCGACGTCTGGAAGATCGAGGCGGCAGCCTCGTGGGGTTGGTGTACTGCTTCGCGAGGTCTCGGCGCGTTGTAGCAGCGCGGGCACGAGCGTTCCAGTCTGAAGATCTCTGGCTTCACTGGGGGCTCCCAACGGCGGAAATCGCTTGCATGCGGTGACACAAACCAGAGCCCGCGCCGTCGTGACGGGAACTTGCCATGAACGAGGGGACGGTTCTTGACAGAGGGAACTCACCATGATTGCAGGCCCTTGGCTTCACTTAAGCTTCCTCAGTTTGCCTAACAGCAAGCACCGTTGGAGGTTGTGTGTGCCGCCCGAAGTTGTGACTCCAACTCGTTGTGAGGAACTCGCCTCACCGAAAGCTAGCTGTCCGACCTGACCTGATTCCACCGTGGCCCATCTCTCCACGATACGTTTTCGCAAGTCCTTATTCCGGAAGGGCACGACTTGGAATCATGTCTGGTCCTCGTTGCAACGGGGCATATCGCCAGGCCCTGTCGAGTGCTTGATTCGGCGCCTTTGCAGGATGACGTTGTGGAGCACACCTGATTCGCTTGGTCCGAGGATTACTCAAGACGAGACGCGCAGCTCGGGCTTGGGCCGAGGGCATGGCGAGGTAGGGCAATTAGAGGGTTGTCGAACCAGGACGTTGGTCACGCAGCCAGAGAAGCTTTTTCAGCCGAGTCGGGGAGGAGCACTGGAAGAAGAGATCATTACAAGTCCTTAAACGTTCTGAGGTCCGCGTGCTTGGATCGGCTCTGGACCCCCCTCCCCTGGAGCGCGGAGCGCGCCAGGGGCGGCGCTGGAGGCGCAGCACGAACCTTCGAAAGTTATGTTTACGTCGTGCTTCTTCGTCGGACCTTGAAAAGCCTATGTTTGGCTGTGCTTACATCTCTTCTTCTCACGCGTGTTCGAAGAGAGGTGGGAGGAGGAGGTGCTGAGCTCGCTATCGCATTGCTTGGCTTCCAGATGGCGGGGAGCCCCTCCGAACCTCCTGAGCCGTGACCCGCCAGCTACGCGCATGTGAAACATGTTGGATTCAACACGTGTTTGGGCCACGAGAGGCGAGGAGGAGGGGGGAGGATTTTCCAAAGACCCCAAGAACCTGGCTTAAGTTTTCAGGACGCCCAGAAGTCCTCGACCTACTGATATGCCCTTTCTCCTTCCCTCCAGACAGACGCCTTCGGCGATTCGGTGTGCCAGCGTTCAGTTTGACGGGGGGTGCGCCAGCGCACGGTCCTGACCACATTGGGGGCAGCAACCGCTGCCCCCAATGGCTCTGGCCATCGAGGTGGACCTCCTCCACCCCTCCTCGAGGAGGGATATCAACACTGGCAGTCAGGCGATCGGCGGCTCCTTCTTCGCCGTCACGGCGGGCGGCATGAAGTACTTCAGCGCGGAGGACGCCGCCCCCGTGGGCCATGGCAGCGTCGACGATGCAGATGCCCACCCAGAGGCTCACAGATCTCCACACTCGAGGTTTAGCTACGATTGCGTACGTTCACCCTCACTTGCGCAGTCTGTGCCCTCAACCTGAGGGTTCTAAAGGTTTTTGAGCTTCTGGGCAGGACCAGGCAGGGCCCCACCATCGACGGATCGATGGATTGGTTTGTCTACTTCGGGGGAGGCTGACTGAAGGCCCGCGGAAGTATGCCCAGGTAAGACCAGGAGTGTCGCTACTGTGGGGCTGGCGGGAGTTTGGCGGAAGTTGGTGGGAGTGAGGTCATGCGTCCCGGGTGAAGGGCAAGATTTGGCGTACCGGGGGTGGTGTGTGTGTGTGTGTTTTGGAGTTGGCCGTATGTTTCGGGGGGGGTGCGGGTCTCATAGCGACAACAGCATGCGATTGGAGCCGCAATCGTGATTATGTGTCCAGGCCTGAATAGCAGGAAAGAGCAGGAGAAACACGAGGAGGAGAAGGAGGAGGATGAGGATAAGGAAGAGGAGGAGGAGCTGCAAGAGGGAGGATCATCACGAGGTAAGAGGAGAAGCATGGCGGGGAGTGGAACGAGAAGGAAGACGAGGGGCAGCAGTAGTTGGAATGAGGATGACGAGAGGGAGTTGTTGTTTTAAGATCGGCCTGAGGCCAGGTCTAATCAGTTCACCACAGGGCGCCCTCTGAGTCGGAGGAGGACGAGGAGGAGGAGAACGACGACGGGGCTAGTAGGAGGAGAAGTGAACAGGAGTAGGAGGAAGGCAGAGCAGGCAGCAGGCAGAGAACCGTCGGCGCCCAGCTCGACGACGGCAAGCTGAAGTGGAGTGACGGCGACATGTGGACGCGTCTGTGGGCCAAGGCTCGTTCTCTTCCTCCCACCTCGCCCAGGAGGATGGAGGAGGCGTAAAGGTGGATACGAGCAGGAACTTTGCCTGAACGTGTCGCTCCGCAGCTTCTGGCCCACCACGCTTCGGCGCGACACGCTATTCACATCCCAGTCCCCGAGCGTCAACGGCCCGAGCTTCTCCCCGCCGCCCGCCCCGCGGAGCGGAGCGACACGCTATCCGCTCGCAGGGCATGGCGTGTCGCTGGGGCCGCCGCCCCCGACACGCTAAGTAAACAGTTCCCCCATTACCGTAGAGGACGGTACTGATGTCTTTGACGGCATCCCTGAGTGCCTTTGCGTTCTCGGCGGTTTCTGGTATCTCGGAGCTTCAAAAACCTTCACATGGAGGTCCGAACATCATTCTGCCGGATTGGGTATTCCTGAGTGCCCTGACGTTCTCGGCGGTTTCTGGTATCTCGGAGTTTCAAGAACCTTCACATGGAGGTCCGAATCTCATTCTGCCGGATTGGGTTTTCCATGCTGGAAGAGTTGCTCTAGCGGGGACGTCTGTTTTCTCATTGCCTTCCCCAGCGACACAGATCTGTCCAACATCGAGGTTCGATTTCCAGTCGTAAGTTTTAGTGTCCATTTACATACGCACATACAAACACGCACGCAAGCAAACACACACACACACACACACACACGCATGTGATGTGCGCATGTCTTCACGTCTGAAGCACAAATTGCCCTCGGGAGAGACTTGTATCCTCTCGGGTGTGTTCTGCAAGCAGTTCCGAGTGTGTACCGATCTGGTGCACGCCTCAATTCCCATGAAAAGATCGGGTTTCCAACTGACACTGACACACCATCGCCTTACCATGTTTGGGTAGGTCCTTTGCAGTGAGGGGGAGTGGGTGTGGCTACGCTGCGCGTGCAAAATCAACTGAATGTTTGCCAGCGCGGCCCCCCAAACAGTGAGTTCACGCACTCTCGGAATGTGCGTTGTGCAAGCAATGTGTGCCACTCTATGCGACGCATGCTGCTTGGTGAAAGCAATGTAGTACAAGCTATGTGGTGTATGATACGTGTTGCAATACATGTTGGGCCAGCCAGGTGGTGCAATATGTATGTATGTATGTATATATATATATATATATATATATGGAACTATCGGAGGAGGCAGGGGGGGGGGGCCGGCCGCTGCTTGTACCCCCCATGGGCGCCCCCCGGGGGTTCTGGGCTCGCGAGACGGCCCGGGCCCGCACCGAAACGGGCCACGACAGGCTAAGGGGGCACGAAGAGGGCCCAAGGCGGTCCCAAGAGGCCCCGAAGACGCCCAAGAGGCCCTCAAGACGGCCGACGAGGACTCCAACACGCTCCAGGACGGACTCAAGAGGCTCCCCAAGAGGGCCCCGGGAGGCAAAGTTCGCTCATTTTCCGATGGTTTTTGAAGGATTTGGGCGTTCTCGCTTTTCCCGCTTCCCAGCGTTCCCTCACGGCCTCGGAGGCCTTTCAGATCGCTCCAAGACAGCCGGAGGCTCCCCAGACAACCCAAGTGTGCCCCACGAGCGCCCCAAGAGGGGGCCCAGAGGGGGACCGCGAACCGATTCGAGGTCTCTGGCGCTAGAGGCCCCCAGTAGGCCCCTGGAGGCCATTAAAAGGCTCCCACGAAGACCCGTGAGTCGCCCAAGAGGCCCGCAGGAAGCCCCAGAGGCCCCCAAGAGGCCTCCAGGGAACGCCCAAGAGGCCCCCCGACACACCCCAACAAATCATGTCCCCAGAAAGCCTTCCGGGGACATGGTTCAACATGGGCCCGAGAGTCTCTGGAGGCGCCGAAGTACTATCACGCTACCGGAGAGTTGTCCGGGAAGTTGACTGGGAACATGACTGATCGCCTTCTCGTGGCTCTCCACGGATTGTTTCGCACAAGGTTGCCCCGAGTGCCCTCTTTGAACCAACGACGACGAAGACGGCGAAACGACGCAGACGAGGACGACGACGACGACGACGACATCGCCGGCGCGCCCCAAGATGCGGCGACGACATTACGACGACGACGACGACGACGACGACGACGACGACGACAACGACGGCACGCCACAACAGGCTCCCCAAGACGCCCCCCAAACCCATATTCCCAGAAGGCCTTCTGGGAACTCGATTCATCTGGCCTCCGCCCCCCTACGCAACCATTTTCCCCGAAAGCCTTCCGGAATGCGCATTGACACGCGTGAAATTCTCACTACACAAAATTCGTTCAGCGTGATTGACATTTCTTCACCTCCCGTTCAAGCCATCTGTGGTCCACTACTTCAGTGGAGCAGTGAACTCGTCAAGGCCTGGGGCCTGCTAGAACCTGAGCGCGCGCGAAGCGCGCGCGATGGTTCTAGTATATGTGTATATATATATATGTATACACATATATATATATATATATATATATATATATATATATATATGTATGTGTGTGCGTGTGTCAGTGTGTGTTTAGGTATACACCTGTACGGTCATCTATATCATACACTATATGTAGTGCATTACATCGGGTGCAATATGTATTGTGCAACCTTCGTTGCGCATTCAACCTGGTGCATGCTATGTGGTGCAATATGTATGCGGCAATATGTGTTCTACAATATATTTGGTGCAAGCGATGTGGTGTATTCTATGTGTGGTGCAAGCTATGGGTGCAAGTTACCTGCTGAACTTGAAGTTATCAACCCCACTGCTCGCGCAATCATCCCACCCGCCCACCCGCAACTTGGTTTGCAAAACCCATGCGGGAGCGATTGCGATGAGTGCTGGGTGTTGGCTGGTGCATCTCTGCGGCCGCGCTGGCCCGCGCATGCTTGCGCGCGCAGCGGTCAGCTAGTTTGGCGCGACCGGCGCGAACGCAGTGGCGCTGACCGCTCGGCACATCCCAGCGGGTAGTTCAGTGCGAGTCGGCGACTTGGGCGGGCGCGGTATTATGGAAACGTCGACAACGGTAGACACGATGATGATAGTTAGCGATGTTGGTGACGATGCTGACAGCGACGACGGGGCAGCCAGTGACGGCGCCCATGCTGATCACGCCGGCGACGATGACGGCGTCCTCGCGTCGGTGATGAAAGTTTTGGACGGAATTTGAAATGCGCGCGCGGCAGACGCGCGAGAGTGGCTCGCATGGTATTATTTGGAACGGACCGTGACACCCCAGCGCGCGCGCAAGGGCGTTCGAACGATTTCGACATGCGCACGCGAGAAGCCGTGTGGCACAATTTTATCAACAAGTTGAAAAACAACTTGTGTTTTTTTATAACAGAAAATGAACTCGCACGAGCGCGCGCACGCTTTTGTTGAAAGTCCGCGTTGCGAAACACCGTGTTGTATTTAACATGTGTTTAAGGGGCACTCTATTATATATAACCTTGCGAAACCGAAGGTTCTTGAAGGATTTCGGCATGCGCGCGCGACGACGCGCGCGTGCACACTTCGTCCCATTTTTGTCAAAAATTGTTGGGAACCTATGATTGTTGATAAACGAGTACGCGCGCATAGTCTTTTTGCAAGGGAACTGAGAGGGGGGCCGATACCGGCCTAGCTGGGATAGTATGAGTTCACAGGTAGGATGGACATGGGGTCAGAATCATATGTATTTTGCATCGGTTCCCGGGGAGTCGATAAGTCCGGTGGGGAGGGTGGTAAAATTTATTATTTTTAATAGAAAAAGGAGAATCGATGGTGCAATCTGAGCAACTTGCGTGGTGCAATCTACGTGGTGCGATCTACGTCGTGCAAGCCAGCGGACGAGGTGCCCACGAGACGCCCGTGAGAGCCCTCCGGGTGAAATCCCATCACCCGCCCACACGTGGCGCCCACGAAGCGTCTACGGGCGCGACCCGAGCGAAACCCTGACACACCCACCCAGCGCGCGAGGTGCCTACGAGAGGCCCACGGGCGCCCACCAGGCGAGACCTCGACCCACCTACTCTGCGCAGAAGGCGCCCACGAGGCGAAACATTGACACCCACCCGCATGAGACACCCACGAAGTGCACACGGGCGAAACACCGACACACCTACCCAATCATTTAGAAGAATAAACAAGAACCCTTCAGTGCAAGTATTGTTTGGGAGTGCTGAGACCACAAAATTTAACAGACGTTGCAGTACATCAGAGATCCATGGGAAAATCGCAGTATGGGTAAATTCGGCCGATGCGCACTCCTGCCTACCATTCACGACCGTGTCGAAGTTTGGGCATCCATTGATACGACCAGAAGCGGCCGGTCGCGTTCCCCGTCATTTGTCGGAGCCGGAGGGGCGCATTGTCTTTAGCCAAAAACATTGTCTCGGCGCCGACGCATTACACCTATAAATCTCAAATCAGAAAACAGCATGTTTTGCTGTCAATTAGATACATGAATGAACGACCGGATTTGTTCAAGCTGTGCACGCGTCAAGAGCGTCTGGAAGTTCAGCGAAGCTCCTGAAGACCCGAGCGTCAGAGGCGTCAAAAGCGCTGAGGATTTTCGAGTGCCGCTGGCCAATCCCTAGTTCTTTTGTTGCTGGCTGTCGCCCCCATCGATGGTGTCCCCACTTTGCTGGAGTGCGCCAAGGTGAAGGTTGAAGTGAAGAAAGAAGTCAAAAGCGAGGTGAAGGCGGATGTGATGACAGAAGCTTCACCAGCCGAATCACCGCCCCCGCCATTCCGGGCTGGATTGTAGTGCTACCCTCGTCCACCGAGCGGGAATCCCACACCTGACAGAAAGGTAGCACTCTGAACGTTAAAGCATGGTGTTGTTGCAGGTGCTCTCGCCAGGCCCCAAATCTACTATCGGGCTAGACCCCGAGAACGGCCCAGAGGTTATTTTGGGGCGATGGCTGAGTACGTGCGTGTGCGCGCGTGCGTGCGTGTGGCGTGTGTAATGTGTGTGTGTGTGGTGTGTGGTGTGTGGTGTGTGGTGTGTGGTGTGTGGTGTGTGGTGTGTGGGGTGTGGGGTGTGGGGTGGGGTGTGGGGTGTGGGGTGTGGGTGTGGGTGTGGGGTGTGGTGTGTGGGGTGTGTGTGTGTGTGTGTGTGTGGTGTGTGTGGTGTGTGTGGTGTGTGTGGTGGTGTGTGTGTGTGTGTGTGTGTGTGTGTGTGTGTGGTGTGTGTGGTGTGTGTGTGTGTGGTGTGTGTGTGGTGTGTGTGTGTGTGTGTGTGTGTGTGTGTGTGGTGGTGTGTGTGGTGTGTGTGTGTGTGTGTGTGTGTGTGTGGTGGTGTGTGTGTGGTGTGGTGTGTGTGGTGTGTGTGGTGTGTGTGTGTGTGTGTGTGGTGTGTGTGTGTGTGTGTGTGTGTGTGGTGTGTGTGTGTGTGTGGTGTGTGTGTGTGTGTGTGTGTGTGTGTGTGTGTGGTGTGTGTGTGTGTGTGTGTGTGTGTGTGGTGTGTGTGGTGTGTGTGTGTGTGTGTGTGTGTGTGTTGTGGTGTGTGTGGTGTGTGTGGTGTGTGTGGTGTGTGTGGTGTGTGTGGTGTGTGGTGTGTGTGTGGTGTGTGTGTGTGTGGTGGTGTGTGTGGTGTGTGTGTGTGGTGTGTGTGGTGTGTGTGGTGTGTGTGGTGTGTGTGTGTGTGTGTGTGTGGTGTGTGTGTGTGTGTGTGTGTGGTGTGTGTGGTGTGTGTGGTGTGTGTGGTGTGTGTGGTGTGTGTGGTGTGTGTGGTGTGTGTGGTGTGTGTGGTGTGTGTGGTGTGTGTGGTGTGTGGTGTGTGGTGTGTGGTGTGTGGTGTGTGGTGTGTGGTGTGTGGTGTGTGTGTGTTTGTGTGAGTGAGTGAGTGAGTGAATGAGTGAGTGAGTGTGTGAGTGTGTGAGTGCGTGAGTATGTGAGTGTGTGAGTGTGGGAGCGTGGGAGTGTGTGAGTGTGTGAGTGCGAGTATGTGAGTATGTGAGTGTGTGAGTGTGTGAGTGAGTGAGTGCGAGTGTGAGTGCGAGTGCGAGTGTGATTGTGAGTGTGAGTGTGAGTGTAAGTGTGAGTGTAAGTGTGAGTGCGTGCGTGCGTGTGTGTGTGTGTGAGAGTGAGTGCGTGAATGTGTGTGTGAATGTGTGTGAATGTGTGTGAATGTGTGTGCGTGTGCGTGTGCGTATGCTTGTTCGTGTGCGTGTGCATGTGCGTGTGCGCGTTCGCTTGCGCGTGCGCGTGCGCGTGCGCGTGCGCGTGCGCGTGCGCGTGCGCGTGCGGGCGGGCGGGCGGGCAAGCGGGCGCGGGCGTGCGGGCGCGTGCGTGCGGAGGCGCGCGCGTGCGGGCGCATCCTTGCGTGCGGGCGCATGCGTGCGGGCACGTGCGGGCGGGCGCGTGCGGGCGGGCGTGTGCGTGCGGGCGCGTGCGCGCGGGCATGTGCGTGCGTGCGTGCGTGCGTACGGGTGCGTGCGGGTGCGGGTGCGTGCGGGTGCGTGCGGGTGTGGGTGCGTGCGGGTGATTGCGAGTGCGTGCGGATGCGGGTGCGGGCGCGGGTGCGTGCGGGCGGGCGGGCGCGCGCGTGGGTGCGCGCGCGCATGCGTGCGTGCGTGCGTGCGTGCGTGCGTGCGCGTGCGTGTGTGTGTGTGTGTCTGTGTGTATGTGTGTGTGTCTGTGTGTGTGTTTGTGTGTTTGTGTATGTTGTGTGTGTATTGTGTGTATTGTGTGTTGCGTGTGTGTGTGTTGTGTATGGTGCGTGGTGTGCGTATTGCGTGTTGTATGTTGTGTGTGAGCGTGTGTTTTGTTGTGTGTTGTGTGTGTTGTGTGCTGTGTGTGTTGTGTGTTGTGTGTTGTGTGTTGTGTGTCGTGTGTGTGCGCGTGTGTGTTACACACACATGCGCACACACAGTGCGTGTGCTTGCGTGCGTGCGTGCGTGCGTGTATGCTTGTGTGTGTGTGTGTCTCTCTGTGTGTGTGGGTGTTTGTATGGTGTGTGCTGTATGTGTTGTGTGTATGTGTGTCTGTGTGTGTGTCTGTGTGTGTCTGTGTGTGTTTGTCTGTGTGCGCGCGCGTGTGTGTGTTTGCGCGTGTGCGCATGTGCGCGTTTGCGCGTGCGTCTGCGTGCGTGTGTGCGCGCGCACGTGCGTCCGTACATGCGTGCGTGCGTGCGTGCGTGCGTGTGCGTGTGTGTGTGTGTGTGTGTGTGTCTGTGTGTGTGCGCGTCTGTGTGTGTCTGTGTGTGTGTCTGCGTGTGTGTCGGTGTGTGTGCCTGTGTGTGCGTCTGTGTGTGTCTGTGTGTGTCTGCGTGTGTGTCTGTGTGTGTCTGTGTGTGTCTGTGTGTCTGCCTGTGTGTCTGTGTGTGTCTGTGCCTGTGTGTGTGCCTGTGTGTGTGCCTGTGTGTGTGTCAGTGTGTGTGTGTGTGTCTGCGTGTGTGTGTGCCTGTGTGTGTCCGTGTCTGTGCCTCTAGTTGTGTGTGCGTGTGTGCTTGTTGTGTTTGTATGTGTGTTGGTGTTCGTGATTGTACTTGCGTTTGTGTGTTGCTCCCAACCATCGTGTGTTGAGTTGGGTCCTCGTTTTGAGTCAGTGGCGCCCCGCGTCCTCCTCCTCCTCCTTCCTGCTCTTTCCTCTCCTCCTTCCCCCATCCTCCCTAAGGCCCCAGTGGCTGCGTTCGCGGCCCCCTAGGGGGCTGCACCGAATGCTCCATCGGCAAGAATCGCACGCGTGACCGCGCCCATTTGGGCGCACCCCTGGCACTTTTCGTAGCCCGATAGGAGCAAAAGCCCCGCTGTCTGCTGCTCCCCAGACCGCGCCCTGCTGCTACCCAGGGTTGACAGGCGTTCAGATCAGCCTTTACGGGCTACATCCAGATGTAACCCGTTGCGGCTTACCTTTGCGACCCCACCAGCGACATTGCTCCGTCTTTCCCACGCACGCCTTAGTCATTTTGCTAGCCGTCTCCCTTAGTTTCCACCTATCTTGCGGTACTCGCAGACGCACATGGGTGGGTCCTTCGCCAGGCTCAGTTGTGTGTTTGTGTTGTGTGCGTGTGTTTATGGTTGTGCTTGTGCTTGTGCTTGTGATTATGATTGTGGTTGTTTTTGTGTTCCTGTTCGTGCTTGTGTTCGCGTGTCTGTATTTAGGTTTGTGTTTGTTGCTGTAATGTATGGTTGTAATTGTGATTGTGTGTGCGGGCCCGACGGTTGGAACCCTGCATCACCCCGCATGGTGGCTGCGTGAGGATCCGCGCTGCTCATTTCCTCAGCTGATGCGCTGCGCGCGAGGCCGCGACGTGTTTTTTCGTTTGGGGGGCCGGCCTGCGTGAGGCCACATTGCCTTTCCTGGCGGCCGACCCCATAGCTCCCAGGGGGCGCGCAACAGTCGCTTGTTGGGCACAGGGTGTTCTGACAGGCGCACGTCGACTTCGCGAGATGATGGACCGAGCAATAGCTTTCCAAAGGCGGTAGATCGTTCCAAATGGGAGGTGTTGTTTGCTAACCTCGGGGGCGACATACTGGAGAGCCATACGAAGGTTGAAGTAAAGACTGAGGTGAAGAATGAGGCCAAGATGGAGATCAAACAGGAGGTCAAGCAAGATACCAAGCAGGAGTCGGCGGTCAAATGCGAATATGTTCCCCCCCCAGGATAACAGTCGTTACCTGGCGGAGGGGGGCAGGGGCCTAGTAATGTCACGATTTGCGCCCGCGGGGGGGGGAGATGGGCCTGATGAAGTCCGGGCTGGGAGTGATTTGGGCGACGACGACGACGACCAATGCCGTCCAGAGGCTTCTGGAGGCTTGAGGGGTGCACATACGTAGTGGGTACACGGGCGCTGTGGTGCACAAGCATTGAGGCGGTGTTGTGCACACCTGCTGCAGCAGTATCTGCGGTGCACTGTGGTGAACACAAGCGCTGTGGTGCGTGCACGTGGCTACTGTGGTTGTGTATACAGCTACTGTGGTGCTCACGTATGCCTTGTGCAGCAGCGTCGGTGGTGTACACGGGCGCTATTGTGTACACAGGCGCTGAGGTGCACATAGGCAGTCTGGCATACACAGGCGTTGTGGGCCCAGAGTTCGGAGGACCGTTCCTTGGGCCAGAAAGTCAACAACCACAGACAATTCTTCAAGTGACTTGCGCTGTTCCACCGACCCCCCAGGTTGGGCCTCTTAGAGGGCTATTGGGGCCATCTACAGGGCTTTTCTGGGCTTCTTGAGGGCCCCTGGGGTGCTTCTTGGGGGCCTCGTGGAGGCGTCTTGCCTCTTGGGGGCGCCTCGGGGGCCTCTGGGGGCTCTCCTCGAGCCATCTTGCGGAGAAAGCCTCGACATGTAAATTCGTATTCCTCCTCTCGGGCCCAAAGGGCCCTCTCGGCGCTTTTCGAGGCCGTTTTGGGAGCCTTTCGGGCCGTCTTGGGGGCCTCATAATGGCCCTCATAATGGGCCGTCTCAGGACGATCTGTGGGGCCCCCTGGGCCGTCTCGGACGCCGTCAAAACGAAGAAGGCGAGTATACCGAAAATGTACATGTTCCACAGGTGCTGTGACGATATTTTATTCTTGGGGCCCAATTTGGGTCCTATGGGAGCACTCGTGGGCTCGCTTCGGGGCAACGTGGGCCGCCTTCAGGGCATCTTGGATCGTCGTGGGGCTACCCTGGGCCGGCTCGGCGCTCTCTGGGGCTCTCTCTTGGCGCTTTGTTTGGGCCGCCTTCAGGCTCATCGGGGGCTCCGAAAGCCCCAGGAGAGGCGTTGACAAACTCGGGGGCCCCTGGGCCCCCTCCCTCAAACAGCAGCTGGGGCCCCAGAGGAGGGGGAAAGGGGGAGGGGGGGAGCCAAATGTCCCACACGTCTTGATACCAAGCGTGGGTCTGCGGATCACCATGAATTGATACGTTGGGGGTCCCTATGACTGTCTGGATGTTGCCCCTGTCGGGACCCTGAAGGTGTACACAGGCTTTGTGGTGTACACAGGCACGGTGGTGTACAAGAGCTGTGGTACACATAGTGCTGAAGCAAGATCTGTGGTGCCTGCTTAAGCATATATGGTATAACAAAGCTGTCTGGTGTACGAAGTCATTGTTATGTACAGGGGCACTGTAGAGCACACAGGTCTTGTGGTGTACACAGGCACAGTGGTGCGCCCAGGCATTGTTCTGCACGCAGGCCCTGTGGTATATACCAGCATTGTGGTGTACACCAGCACTGTGGCGTACACACGCACTGTGGTGTACAGCTGCAACGTGGTGTACGCAGGCAGGATTGTTCACACCGGCCCACTGGTACGCGAAAGCACTGTGGTGTTCACAGGCGCTGTGGTGAACGCAGTGTACACAGGCAGTGTGGTGTACCCTGGAGGTCCCTCCGCGAGGACACTGTGTCGCACAACGAAGCTATGTCCGCTGGTCGTTGCAACTCTCAGCAAACCCCTGCGCTGTGCCCAGCTGTCCCTGGCAGGTCCCTAGCTGCTCCTAGGCATTCCCAGGCAGCGCCAGCGCAAAACGTGACGTTATCGGGCAGGGGGGGCGGCGCCAGTATCGCCCATTATCGCGAAAAACACTAGCATTGGCTCTACGAGTGTAGCATTCAGTACTTCGTTGAGAAAGCAGGTGTCCCAGGACGACTGGAATATTGATATACCCTGCCCCGATCATGAAACATTGGCTCGTCATGTGTGTCCAGGCCTCCTGGAACAAGCGGCCACCGCGAAGGCCGGGGGGCATTGCCGTGCGTTTCCCGAAGGAGGTGAAGCAGGAGCCGCAGCAGGACGGGAAGCCAGAGCCCGAAGAGTCCGATGGCCAGCTCTGCGGGGGTCCGCCCCCTGACCACGATCCGGCGTCGACTTCTGCAGACGACCGTGCGGAAGGAGAGGCGGAGCTGGTCAAGGCCCGTGGTCGGTGCGCCACCAAAGGGGTCGAGTGTGGGGCCAGGAGCAGTGCCAAATCAGACTCCAGTGGCCGACAAGAGCAGTCGAAATTATCAAGGTTCGGCCGTTAGACTCAGGAGCAGGACCAGTAATCTCCGAATCAGACTCACCGTTAGCCAGCAAGAACAATCGGGACGAGTAAGCACGGCTTTGTTTCATTGTGGTTTGGCCACCTGGGCCCCTCCTTGGCCCCTGAAGGGCAGCCAGCCGACCACGGATCAAGGTCAAGGCCGAGCTGCAGGACTGGACCCCTCCGGGAGTGGGGCAGTGCGCTGCGGGAGCGCCCGCAACGAGCCCGGCGTGGCCGGCGGAGGAGCTCGGCGTCGCGTGCCGTCGGGGTCCCCGATCCCTCAGTCCCTAACCCACGAGTGAGCGGGGAGGAGGGGGAGGAAGGAGGCGGGGGGCAAGCATTTGTCGAATGTACGTGGGGGAAGGACAGAGGAGCAGGACATGGGAGGAACAGTGAGGTGGGGGAGGGATAGGCATGAGGGAGGAATACGGAGTAGGAGGATGACTGAAAGGTAGGAGGGGGAATGGGGGGAAAGGAGGAGGAGGTGGAAGAGGAGGAGGAGGAGGAGGAGGTGGAAGAGGAGGGAAGCAGCAGCAGGAGGATGAAGGAAGGGAAAAAGAGGTGAAGCACTGGCGCGTGCAGCGGGAGTCTCAGATGCCACAGCGGGTGTCTTCAGCAGATGGCGCCATCTTGCTCGCATATGGGTTGCCACGCTTTTGCTACCAAGAGGGGGTCAGGGAGATGAGAAGGAGGAGGAGGGATGAGGGACAGGAAGGAGGGGTAGGATGCGAAAGAGGAGGGAGGAGGAGGACGACGTTGAGGAGTGAGATGAGGAATTCTTCCCTCCTCTCTCCCCTCTCTACCCCCGTCCCTCCTTCCTTCCGTCCTTCATCCCTCCCCCCACCAGTCCTCCCCACTCATCGCTCCTCCTCCAGGAATGGGGGCGGGGGGATCGGCGTGTGCGTGTGTGTGTGTGTGTGTGTTTGCGTGTGTGTGTGTGTGGTGTGTGTGTGTGCGTGTGCGTGCGTGCGTGCATGCGTGCGTGCGTGCGCGTTGTGTGTTGTGTGTTGTGTGTTGTGTGTTGTGCGTTGTGGGTTGTGGGTTGTGTGTTGTGTGTATGTGTGTTTCTGTTGTGTGTGTTGTGTGTTGTGCGCTATTGTGTTATTATGTGTGTGCTTATGTTGGTGTTTGTGTTGGTGTTCGTGCTTGTGCTTGTGTTTGTGCTTGTGTTTGGGCTTCTGTGCCTGTGTCTGCGGCTGCGGCTGTGGCTGTGTGTGTCTGTGTCTGTGTGTATGTCTGTGTCTGTGTGTGTCTGTGTCTGTGGCTGTGGCTGTGTCTATGTCTGTGTCAGTGTCTGTGTCTGTGCCTGTGTCTGTCTCCTTGTCCATGTCTCTGACCGTGTCCGTATTAGTGTCCGTGTCTTTGTCCGTGTCCGTGTCTGTGTCTGTGTTTGCGTTTGTGTCTGTGTTTGTGTTTGTGTCTGAGTCTGTGTCAGCGTCTGCGTCTGTGTCTGCGTCTGTGTCTGCGTCTGCGTATGCGTCTGCGTCTGTGTCTGCGTCTCTGTCTGCGTCTGCGTCTGTGTGGTGTGTGTTGTGTATTGTGTGTTGTGTGTGTTGCGTGTGTTGTGTGTGTTGTGTGTTGTGTGTCGCGTGTGTTGTGTGTGGTGTGCGTATGTGTTGCGTGTGCGAATTGTGTGTGTGTGTGTTGTGTGTGTGTCTGTGTGTGTGGTGTGTGTGTCTGTGTCTTTGTGTGTGTGTCTATGTGTATCCGTGAGTGTGGCTGTGTGTGTGTGTGTCTGTGTGTATGCCTGTGGCTGTGGCTGTGTCTGCGTCTGTGTGTGTGCCTGTGCCTTTGCCTCTGTCTGTGTCTCTGTCTCTGTCAGTGTCTGTGTCTGTGTCAGTGTGTGTGTGTGCTTTGTGTGTTGCGTGCTGTGTGCGTTATGTACGCTGTGTGTTGTCTGTGTTGTGTGTGGTGAGTGTTGTGTGTGTTGTGTGTTGTGTGAACCGTGTGTGGTGTGTGTTGTGTGTGTGTGTGCTGTGAGTGGTGTGTGTGTGTGCTGTATGTGTGTGTGTGTTGTGTGTTGTGGTCGTGTGCTGTGCTGTGTGTAGTGTGTGCGTGTTGTGTGTAGTATGCGTGTTGTATGCGTGCTGTATGTCTATTGTGTGTAATGTGTGTTGTGTGTGTGCTGTGTGTGGTGTGTGTTGTGTGGTGTGTGTGTTGGGTATGTTGTATGTTCTGTGTGTGCTGTCTGTGTTGTGTGTAGTGTGTGTCCGTTGTGTGTATTGTGTGTGCGTTGTGTGTATGTTGTGTGCTGTGATTGCTGTACATGTTGTGTGTTGGGTGTGCTGTGTGTTGTGTGTGTTGTGTGTGCGTCGTGTGGGTTGTGTGTTGTGTGTGCTGTGTGCGTATGTTTTGTGTTGTGTGGTGTGCGGTGTGTGTGTGGTGTGTGTTGTGTGGTGTGTGTGTGGTCTGTGTGTTGTGTGTCTTGTGTGTCTTGTGTGTCTGGTGTGTTGTGTGTGGTGTGTGTGTTGTGTGTCGTGTGTGTGTTGTGTGTTGTGTGGTGGTTGTTGCTTGATGTTTGGGTTGTGATTGTTGTGATTGCTGTGGTTGTTGTGTGCTGTGTGAGATGTTTTGTGTGGTGTGTGGGTTATGGTGTGTGTGCGGTGTGTGTGGCGTGTGTGCTGTGTGGTTTGTGTGTGTTGTGTGTGTGCTGTGTGTGTTTTGTGCGTTTGTGTGTGTGCTGTGTGTGTTGTGTGTTGCGTGTGTGTGTGTTGTGTATGATGTGTGTTGTGCGTGTTGTGCGTGTTGTATGCTGTGTGCGTCTGTGTGTGAGCATGTGTGAGCGTGTGTTTGTGCGTGTTGTGTGCTGTGTTTGTTGTGTGCGTGTGCTGTGTGGGTTGTGTGGTTTGTGTGTGTTGTGTGTTGTGTGTTGTGTGTGTTGTGTGTGGGGTGTGGTGTGCGTGTTGTGTGTGGGTGGTGTGTGTTGTGTGTGGTTGTGTGTGTGTTTGTGTGAGCGTGTGTTTATGTGTGTTTGCGTGTGTTGTTGTGTGTAAGTGTGTGTGTGCTTGAGTGGTTGTGTGTGGTTGTGTGTGGTTGTGTGTGTGTTTGTTTGCGTGTGTGCGTTGTGTGGTTGTGCGAGTGTGTGTGTGTGGTTGTGTGTTGGGTGGTTGTGTGTGCTTGTGTGTGGTTGTGTGTATGTGTTTGTGTTTGTGTGTGGTTGTGCGTGTTTGTGTGAGTGTGTGAGTTTGTGTGTGATTGTGTGCGTGGTTGTGTGTGTTTGTGTGCGTGTTTGTGTTCGTGTTTGTTTGTGCGTTTTTCTTTGTGTTTGTTTGTGAGTGTGGTTGTGTGTGTGTTTGTGTGGTTGTGTTTGTGTGTGTTTGTGTTATGCGTTTGTGTTTGTGTGTTTGTGTGTTGAGTGTGTGTGTGTGGGTGTGTAGTTGTGTGTGTGTGTGTGTGTCTGTGTCTGTGCTTGTGCATGTGCTTGTGTTTGTGCTTATGTTTGTGCTTGTGTTTGTGTGTGCCTGTGGGCGTATTTGTGTGTGTGTGTGTTTGTGTGTATTGAGTGTGTGTGTGTGTGTTTGTGTTTGTGTTTTTGGTTGTGTGTGTTTTTGTGCTTGTGTTTGTGGTTGAAGTTGTGGTTGTGGTTGTGGTTGTGTTTGTGTTTGTGTGTAGTGTTTGCGTTCGTGCTTGTGTTTGTCTTATTGTATTATGTGTGTGTTTGTGATTGTGTTTATGTTTATATGTATGTTTTGTGTTTGATGTCGTGTTTGTCGTTGTGTTTGTGCGTGTGCTTGTGTTTGTGTTTGTGTTTGTGATTGCGTGTGTGTTGATGTTGGTGTTGGTGTTTGTGGCTGTGTTTGTGTTTGAGTGTTGTGTTTGTGTGTGCGCGTGCGTGCTTGCGTGCGTGCGCGCGTTTGCGTGTGTGTGTGTGCGTGTGTGTGTGTGTGGGTGTGCGTGTCCGTGTGCGTTTGCGTGTGCGTGTGCGTGTGCGTGTGCGTGTGCGTGCGCGTGTGCGTGTGCGTGTGCGTGTGCGTATGCGTGTGCGTGCGCAGGCGTGCGTGCGTGTGTGTGTGTGCGCGCGTGTGTTTTCACCCGTACAGTACACTCCACATTGCACACCCACTAACCTGGGACCCGCAAGACACGCGTTAGAGATTATGTGTAATCCGGCTTCGCTGTCGTAGGGCGGCTGTATTGTCACGTAATTGTCCTTTGGGCTCCTCCTCCTCTTTGCTGTCCGTAGCCGTTTTGGCTCAAGATGTCTTTGTCCCTCGGGCAGGAAACGGATACCTCTAGTCCGAGGTTAGCTCCGGATTCAGGCAACCCCAGTCGAGCTGCGCGCTGCTGGGGCCAAGAGTATACCTCCTCGGACACAAGCCCGAGCCTCTTTCGACATGTACGCGTGCTGTGACATAGGAGTGGACCGCGTGCGCGTGGATGAGAAGTCTGACAAGAAGGAGAAAAATATCCGCAAGGCCTCTAAGGCCTCGAAGAGTGATGGCACCCCTGGTCGGAAGACTCGCGATCGGGCCCCTCTCCTATGGAGTCCGGTGGTGAGATGTCGCCTGTCTCACCTGGTTCGACGCCACCTGCAACCCCAAGGCGTGAGCGTTAGTCTCGGGCGGCTTCCTCTCATCGTTCAAGGAGATCCCCTGCTGGCCATGGGATCGCGGACACTCCCGAGCAGCGCTCACGCAGTGGTCATGGGGGCTCATCAGGGGGCTCAGTGGATGCTGCTCGGCGCTCCGCTGCCCGCGCTGCCCTGGCAGCGATGGACAGCGAGTTCCTGGCCGCAATCGACTCCGCCCCCACCTTCCCGTCGCAGGAGCTGGCTGTCGATCCTCAAGCTGCTAGAGCCACGGACGCCGACGGTACCAGGCGCGCTTCGCTCTCGCCAGGCACCCAGAGCGGACCGCAGCCCTGGCCAGCCCCTCTTGCCCAACACATCGCTGGCAGGTGGCGTGGGGGACTGGCCGTCGGGGAAGAGGCAGGTGCAGCTGCAGACGCTGGTGGTGCAGGTGATCGGCGCACCCGTGGGAGGAGCTGCTGATCCGTGGATGCGACCTGCCATCGCTCAGATCGCGCGAAAAGATCCAGCCAGAGGGGTTCGGCAAGTTCAAGCAGACGTACATCGGTGAGATCTCGAAGAGGGTCGTTGCGTCAATCGAGAAGGTGTTGCCGCAGTCGATTTCCACTAGCACGATGCCCTTGCTCAGCGGTATCGAGGAGCG